CCAATACAGATAATCTCAGTCAATCAAAAGTCCTTTTGTTTTATTTGTTAGCTGTGTTTGAGCTATGGTTTGAGACGTTCTCCTTCTCTTCCTTATCGTCGTCTGTTTTACCTCAGTCTCAGGTTTTTGACTAAAATGTTTAATATATACCAGCTCACTTGAGCCCTTACGTTCTGCTCACATAAAATAAAATGAGGTAAACATGTACTTTCGATTACTGAGCAATTCAGAGCTTTGTGGATCCGGATCTTAAAAGACTGGAAATTCATTTTTTTAACATGATTTGGACGTGTTTGTTTAATATTCGGATAAATTGTCATTGAAATCTGAAACGATAACCTTCGTAAATAAATACACTAAAATGCAGACAGGTTACCGATTTTGCAATAATTGAAATATCAGTTTAAAACAAAGGCCATCTTAATTTTTCTTTTACTTTTCACAGATCAAGGCTCATAATTTGTCCTATTAGGCCCTTCCAAATTGCTTTGAAATATTTTTGTATTTCTTGAATTTACAGAGCGCTAAATATACAGAATTGCCGTAATGGGAGTAGAGAAAGATAGGACGTTGCCGATTACAAACAAGGGCAAGAAAGTGGTAAAAAAATGTAGGAAGTCTGTGAAGAGAAAGCACCGTGACGGGAGTTCGTGAAAAATAAAAATTCATACCAAAGGTTACAGGTGAGTTTGAAGCATGCCCAAGCCAACAATTTAAATACATATTTCACGGATCAGTGAATTTCGGAGCCTACCCTTCGTAGGGAGGCTGGGTTGCTGGCGACCACGTTTAGGTAGGGATAAGAAAGAACACGAGTCTAAAAATGGTACAATTGAAACGAGTTGAATCAAGATCCTGTGCGCACATTCGGCGCTTGTCGCGTGCATTCTTTCTGCCGGACGCTGGCTGACCTGAGTCGGTCACGGCGCTCTCCGGCACTCCGAGGAGGGACTTTTTTTTCCCCGTTTTGCCCGTACCGATCACTGTTCGTCTCTTGTCAGTGGCACCGCAAGCTCGCGACCTCGATCTGCTTTTCGCAGCCATACGAGATTTACTTTCAAAGACATATCTTTTCTGCGTCTACTCTTGTTGCTAAAACAGCTGTGGATCGCGTACACGCAAAACAAAAACAGTACTTCTTTGCTTTCATTTCTCTGAACGCTTTGACGTCAGTTTTCGGGAGGCGGATTAGTTTCACGTTCGGCAGTTTAGTTTTCAGTGGGGCAATCATCTCTGACGCCGACCTGATCACCGACGCGGTAGACCGTCGGAGGGTGTACAGCGTCGCCTGCTGCTTGACACGGCCTCCGATTCCATCGCAAGCACTCTAGTCATGTCCAGTTGCGGAAGAAATCCACTTCGCTGACGTGTACTTGTTTTGCAACTCGTGTAGTCGGTATTTGTTCTTAAAGTGACTCGCTGCACTATCACTGACGTAAGTCACATGAGCATACCCAAATTGGATTTCACGATTCTCTAAACCGTTGTCATAGAAATTAAGATACAGGCAATCTCATTCAATTGGGCATGAGGAAGATACATAGAAAGGGTGGACGGAAGTCTTCGTTGTCCGTCCACCCTTTCTATGTATCTTCCTCATGTCTAATTACCGTTACCAACACGCTCGTTTTGTACTTAATTCATTCAATTGCTTTTCTTTTTTTCGTGCTGTGCGGTTCTTTCCGGCAGTGGATGTGTTGGCGCTCACAGGCGACACAGGTTTAGGCGTGCCGTATACCTTCTATATCACATCATGTTACCGCCAAGGTTGTAGGCTGATCTGTTTAAAAAGTCGCTCTGTTGCTTCCCTTACGTCGCGTAGACGGAGACGCGACACGCCGGCTGTTGAAACAGGCACCGCGAAGCATGTTATATAGGGAGGCGCCTCTTGATCGATCTGACCCACGGGCATTTTTGGGTCGGCTGTACAAAAATGTATTACGAATTTTCTCTATAAAACTACCGTCTACCTCTGTGCTGTCAGTTTGTATTTTCCTGAGCACCCCGTAGCATTTTTACGCTTTTTAATAATTATGAAACTGTGAAGAATGTGTACGTGCGCGCCCCATTTATGGCAATCGCGTTAGCGTATATTTGGCCATATTTCTCGCTTTATAAGTTCAAAGCCACAGAAATATTGCAATATGTTCTTCGCAGATTCTGTTAGTACATATTACAGATGTTAATTTCGGAGAGTATAAAAAAAATTTAAAGATGGCATTTTTTTAAATGATTTTCAAATTACGGTAATGCATTTGTAGTTAAATGCCCCTGTGTGGAGAAATTTTTGTAAATTTCTACCGCTAAAACATGCACAGATGAACTATATACAGAGCAACACACTGGCAAAGTTTGAAGACCTTAGCCTTTATATACACGGAAAAAAAAAACTTTAATCTCAGCATTATTGCGCAATGTGCCGTATTTGCGGTTTTGTTTCTCAAAATAACGACCCTAATACTCGGTGATAAATCCTTTTTCTCAATTCTTCCCATATCCAATTTGTTAGTAAATAATTCTACACCCGTAGCCAGAACAGTTTTGGGGGGAAGCCGCCCGAAATGCCAACATCGCGCGATACGCAAAACGCGCACGTGACTGAGAGAGTACTTACAAATTTTTTTTCGCAAATACAATTTTTTTTTTCTTAAAACAATTATTGTTTTTATTTTTCTTGACATGGAGCCAGCAAAATATTTTTTTACATCAAAATTAAAAATAGACATGGCGGCGGCCAGATGCGCTGCTTGCAATCGTACTACAGAGTAATCGTACGGCCCTTGGAAGAAAATGGCGGCACAGCATTGCACTGAAATGGGCGACCCTTTCAAGTAAACAGCGGCGAAGCACTCGCTCGTGGCACGTGTGTCGCGCGTTCGCACAACAATGGTTGGCGGTACTTGCAAGAAACACGGAGCGCGAATTTTATCAAGGGGCTTTAGGTCAAACCTCTGCAGTTGCAGATTCCATGATAAGGCTATTTACTTTTCGGAGCGATAAGAAACTCAAGTCCATTTACGCTACCGCGTAATGTGTGTCACGGCGACAAACTTGGCTTTTACATATTTCGCTATCATTAGAGTGTTGTAGTAGACCGCATACGCTGTGGACTGCGGGATTAGCGGGCGCGTGCTCAATCCATGCTTTGAGGTCACGAGCTCCCGTTAATAACCCAAAGTTTTTTTTTTTGTTTGTTTTTATTATAACGTACGATTCACTAAAGCTTTCTTGCGTGGCGCCATTGTTGTTTCCGCGCCGCCTGCCAAGCACGATTCTGAACGTTTTCACGCCATTTTCGCTTTCGCCGCCCGTGGCTCATTCGTACTCCGTTTACGACGAGCCTCCTCTGCCAATACCACATAGAAGACAAGGCCTGCCCCTTACGTCATCGGTAGTGGATCTTCGACCAGCCCCAAGCGGCAGCGGACACGTTGAAGCACGACGACAGCCGCGAAGCGTCAGACGCGTTTGCCTTGGTGTTGCCGCCTGCTAACGTCACCCTCGTTATGAGACGCTGCAAGACGCGCGACGATGCTGACGCGAGGTGCGACACTGCGTGGACGATAGATCCTCTAGTGATGACGTCTTTATTTTATTGTATGTCAAACTCAATGGCGGCTGGGAGCAGTCACGGGGTGGATGAAGTCATCGAGGGTTTCCGCGAAGGACGACCACGCACCCGGGAAGGTTCCCACTAACGGCTGTCGCCGTAAAACTGATACGTACACAATTTTTTTCTCGATGTTTCGAGGTCTTTTGCAACCATGATATGTTTGAAGATAGTCTACAGCTATAAAAGAACTTCGACAAAATATTGATTTGATTCTGCAGGATAATAGATCACCAGCATTAAAGATTCGTGACACAGTTTGCGCAGTATCGGGAATCCAGCAAGCTCTCCAAATATGCAGAGTAGCGAAATTGCTATGACGCGCAAACCAAGTATTCACCGCATTCGGCGGTAGTTAGTACCACGAGGGCGCCACAGTGTTTGGTGCACCAGTAGACTTCCGGTGGTGGGCAGTTGCTAGGCACGAAGCGTGGATACTGGCCGGACGCTGCTGACGCCGCTTCTCCATACGAGCTGAATATTTATTTGTTGGTCAGCAACACGCAGTGATCGCGTAAACAGATTTTTCTTATGAGAATTACATGTAATACGTTTGTAAGAACCTGCGCGCATTGCAGAACCTACTACAAATAACAAAAGGATGTGAGACAAAGGAAAAAGAAGAGAAAAACAGGAAGCGCGAAGGGGTCCACAGATAGCTGGTGGCACCGAGCTTGCTTGCAAACAAACATCGGTGAATACGCCGCTGCATAATGCTTCTAACAGTGAAGTTGGCATGCATGCGAAGAACGGTGGCACCGTTCGGTTAATCCTAGAAGACCACAGGCTGTTTTCACCTGACCTGACATCCATCCACCATTCTGCTGTTAGCTGTGACCCTCCCCGGATTGACGATTTTGGTGGCACTAGGGCGCTAACAAAACTCAGAGGGATAACGATCGCTCTTCGCACGACCCAGGCAGCACATTGCAAAAAGGGCGGAAAAGAAGAATCCGCCAACGTGTACATGACGTAATTTCGCAGCGTTGATAGTTATTTCTATATATTGTTGGCTTCAAACTATCTGTTGTCCGGTGCCAAGCTAGCACGGCCAAAAAACGAATGAACCAGTGGCATGGCAGACAAAATTGTGTCACTGCAAGCAAGACATAGATTTACGGAAGGATATACCTGTCTAAGTAGTTGTTTTAGAAAGTGTTTAGAGGTATGGACTTACGACAAACTACAAACAAAACCACTACAAGCTGTTTTGGCTGCGCGTCTGTGAAGGATAGAAATGAAGAAACCTGATAGCTCAGTTGGCAAGTGGCTGGTATATAGTAAAACAAAACAAAAAAAAGAAGGCGCGCGCTTTTTTGTTTTTATGCGGAAATAGTGTTTCCAGTCGGCACAATCAGAAGAGCAAGTGCGATGCCTTCAAGGCAGCAAAACCGGCTGCGCGGCAACTGCAGCACGACCATATCGCGTTTCTTGACTGCGCCTAACCGAAACTCCACACCCGCGTGCTCTCTCCTTATCTCCCGCACGACGCACACACGGGACAAGGCGTCGTCCACGACAGCAGAATTGACTGTTGACCCGGTGGCCACCGTATCCAGCGCACATCGCACGACATCGTCCGACGGTTATCGCCAGTCCCAAAAACCGCAGCAAGGCTATACGTTCGCCACATCGCAGAACCATTCGAACTTCTACGACCATGCAGCACCATTTTGAGGCGGCTCTTCTGGTGTGTGTCATCGCACTTCTGGGGCAGTGTTCGGCCATCTGGAAGTCCTGCAACGCGGACAACGGCCAAGTGCTGGACATGAGGGTCACCCCCGGAGGCGATCGGGAGGTGTACATCCTCCGGAAAGGCACCAACGTGACCCTGAACATCGAGTTCTGGTCCTCGGTGGACTCGGGCAGTGCCAAGGTCAGGGCCCACGGCATGGTGATGGGGGTGCCCATCCCACTCAAGATGCCCAACGAGGACGCCTGCGTGGACTGCGGCATCAGCTGCCCCATGCGAAACGGGGAGAAGTACCTCTACAAGCAGGGCTTCGAGGTGAAGGCGTCCTACCCCAAGATGAGTGCGACCATCAAGTGGGCCCTCGGAGACGACAATGGTGGCACCGTGGCCTGCGTGCTAATTCCCGTGGAAATAGTGGACTAAGCGGAATCTACCGAAGCTTCTGAGGACCCGATCAGGACGTGAACCTTATGTTGTCTCGTGCGTTTGATAAATGTGTGTGTCAACAAACGGGGAGAGTCTGTAACGTGTGCATTTTCTAGGAGGCTGTCAGCAAAAATTCGTCATTATATAGCTTTGGGGGACGCAACCTGAGCTGACTTGGACATACAACGTTAGCACTAACTAAGCTGTCGATTCAAGTTAAATGCGCTCCTGTGTAAGGGGGAGATTTCACCCTTCTCACGACGCGAAAGACAGAAAAGGTTGTGCAGAATTTCGAGAAGCGCGTCGGCGAACGCGTGGCTTTAGAAATGGAGTGAACAGATCGCAGTGGTAAATTTTGGCTGAAGTGGTTTTCTTGGATAGGTCCGCAGCCTCTCTGCACTGGCTTTTTATTTCATCCACGGTTAACTCTTGTTCAAATTATAAATCGTGAGTCCCCCCTCCCCCCCCCCCAAAAAAAAAAAAGAGCAATTTATGCCGACTGATAAGATTAAGGTAAGATTATTTTTAATCAAATAAAGAGGATTTATTTTATATTACATAAATATTTGCATAAATCAGATTAATTTAATTTACAACGGCTATGAAATGGTAATATTTTTCTCACTACAGTGTAATCCACTTATAACGATACCAGATATAACGATATATCGCTTATAGCGATCAAATTTTTTAGATTTGTCAATTCTCCCATCGCCCCTATGTAAAAATAAACCATATATAACGATAGAATTATCGGCGACATATCGGATACAACGATAGAATTCTGGCCGCCCGGAAGGTGCTTATCACGAAAAATTTGCCTGGAAATTTGAGAAAAATTAAAATACTTGAAGCGAACGACATGAAAACTAGTAAAAATATCAAAAACCGGTCGGCGTGGAAAGATCCGCTAGGTGACGCGAGGCGCCGCCCGATTTAAAAAGTTCAGCCTCATCCTTCGGAATTAGGTGACGCTAGGTGACGCGAGGCGCCGCCCGAGGAGAACATCGGCGGAGCTCTCTTGGGAGACTTTTTGAACGCGGACAACGCTGCCGCTTCATGCGAGGAGTCTACTGATGAGGCCATTGCCGAGGAACAGCAATCGCGACGAAAAATCACATCGAGCGACTGCGAAAGTAGTGACGACGACGGCGGCGACGAGAACACCCCGCCTCCAATGTCTTCACAAAATGCCCTGCTCTCCATCCAGTCGCTGGTCGGTTTTGTGCACGCAAAAGGACTGCCGCCAGCGTACGCGCAACAACTGGAAGCAATGCACACGGCAATTGTCAAACTTCAGCTCAAGCAAGCGCAAATTTCCGACTTTTTTAAGCATGCTTAAATTATTTTATAGTCATTTTCGTACCTTTTAATAAAGCCTTCGGTTTTCTTTGCCTCGGCTCGCGTTGTACGACCTGATTCACTCATCGCCCGTAAGTAACTTCTCTTTGTGTTTTTTTTTTGTCGGTCCAGATATAACGATAATCGGCTATAACGATTGGATTTTGCGGTTTTCTCAATATCGTTATAAGTGGACTGCACTGTATATGTATTTGTAATCATGGCAGATTGTTTGATAATCCGTCCGATCACTAAAAAACACTGCGGAAGAAAGCATTACTGTACACTTAAGGTATAGGGCTGGGCATCGATTAAACGTTTTAACCCAATTCATTGCCACATTGTAATCGATTAATTAATCGCGACTAATCGGCTTCGTTCATTTCCGTGCATAATATTTTTTTTAAGTCACAATGTATTTTTCTTTTTTTTGCTGAATGTGATTAAGGCGAAATATTAAAAAAAAATTGATTATGAATTAACCTCGATGTGTAGTTAAGAACAGCTCAGACACTCACACTCACAGATTATTACTTCAACTGCACGAGGCAAAGAAGTTCATTGGTATCCTCCAGCAAGAGCGACCTCCTTTTGTTCGCAATAGTCTCTGCTTCGCTAAACGGAGACGTGTAACCTCCTGCACCCCTTGTCAGGAGTTACAGATCTTGCCCCTACAGTTTACTTCAGGATAACATTGTACCTAAAGTGTTTGCCCTTCATATGGGTGCACTCGTCCGCGTCTGCGTGGTGAAAGCGTGTAATTTTTACTTTCTTTTGGTTCGTCAAAGATTTACCGATTAAAAATATATAATCGCGATTAAAGCATGATTTGATTAATCGGTAAGCTAATCTATCCAATGCCCGGCCCCCATTCGAAGCTTTGTAAGCCCCGCCATAGTAGAAAGAAAAAAAAAAACTTATTTGTTTACAAAAAAAAAACTTGATGTTTTTTTTTTGTTTTTTTTTTTTGCAATACATTATTTTTTTTTTTCGTTTCTTTTGCGTTCTTACTAGAGAGTTTTAGTAGATCGTTCTGATACCTCCGATGGTCCCGATAACGATACTATGCAAGCGCAAGGGAGGCGGTGGCGGAGTATCGGGTATCGTTATCGGAGTCATGGGAACGATCTACTAAAACTCTCTATTTACTTGCGCTAGGACGTTGCGGAACTGAAGAACGAAGTGTGAGGTAGGAGGCTCAACGTTCCGATTTGCTCAGAAGACCGCTGCCTTGGGCTCGCGTTCAGCCTCATAAATATTTTTTGCTCGATGATTTTTTCATTTTAATATAAAATAAATCCACATAGAAGTATCAAGATGACAGACAAGCGGTAAATAAAACGAATGATTTTATTTTGCGGGAATGACTCGATATAAATCATAGTAAAACAACTCCAATTGGAATCATAATTTAAACCGTGATTTTTATTCTCCATTCTGGATTAAACAGTTCGAATGCAGCTACGCACTATTTTCATAGTTATTGATACTATCCTTCGTATTGTTTTAAAAGAAACGAACATGAGCGTGACCGTTCTTTATTTCGGAAGCCACTGCAGTTCCTAAAAAGCTCCACATTGAGTTCTTTACCTGTAGTAACGATTTTACAACCGCAAGTAATAGGAGTTTGTGCCACCAAGGTCAAGTTCGATACTCGTTCTTTCCGCTTGGCCGCAGTTACTGCCCGTACGTTACCCGCAGGGGCGTCGAGGGCGAAAGAACGCACTAAAGTATAAGATTTTCTTGCTAATACGTGGAACCGGCATCTCGACAACCGCGTTGGAACATGACCAGCGGTACAAATGACGAAGAACATTCCGCTGGAACAAAATGGCGTCGCGTCTTCAGTTCAGTTTTCCGCAGTGCGCCACCACTCGCTTCCTAAAACCTGCACCGTCATGCAGTCGGCGCTTCAAAAAATGTCGCTCCTTGTAGAAGCACTTCAGTACGGACGTTTCCAACGCTTATCACCCGGCGAAAAAAAAAAAAAAAGAGCCGAGTCACTGAGCTGTGGACACTTGCGCAGCGTCTGATATATCGCACAGCAGAGCAACAGCGCATGCTCAGAAAGCGTACCACAGCCCAGCAAAAATGGCAGTGCGCAAAAGGCGATTTTCGCAAAGGTCTATACCGCAAGGACGACGTCGCCCTTGCTCTATTGTTTAGTGATATTTACCAAACTAGTCCACCAGATGATGTTAAACTCTATAGCATAGGACAAACAGAAAGCTGCAGTTGTACTTCAATACCTCGATCAAACCGTCGGGATTGCGTTTTATGAAAAACGCCAACTCCACCCATACGCACATTCGCGTTTGAGCGCGGTGCGTTCAGTAGCGGCAAGCGGACGCGTTGCGTTGCGAAGACCGCTTGCGCCAAGCTTGTACGCACAGTTGCGTTGACACGCAGTCAACCGCAGTCAAGAGCCAATAAGAACGCGCTATCGTCGCTAGTGGCTCACCAATAGTAAGCGAAATCCAAGGCAACATGGCGGCGCACGGCGACGGCGTCGGTGTTCGATCTTGGGACAATCTCGCCGACTTCCCCGACGTTTTGTCAAGCTTGAACCATCGCAGCCTTGGAAAATACAGTCCTTGCCGCTCCCCAAAACGAAAAAGCAAGCACTGCGACTTGCGAACCGGATACGTCTCGCCGAGTCGGCCGGGTGGGGCGAGCGAACACGTCACCCCCTCTCCTCTTTCGGCATCTGATTGGTCGAACGCACCCGAACGCACCGCAACGCTTCGGAAAGTTGAGCGAGTCTCTAGTTGCGTCGCGCTACCGAGCGTTGCGGGAAGGCGCGCGTCGCTCTGCAAGCGACCGCGCCTGGCCGCAAGGACTCCGCAACGCACTCAAACGCGTTCAAACGCGAATGTGCGTATGGCCCTTCAACTTTCCAGGCACGCGACGCTCGCGTCTAAGGTCGCTACGTCCTCCTTTTATACCGTTCCTTGCTTATGCTTCCCCTCGTTAATTTTCGAGCTTTCGCAGCTGGCAAAGTCTTCTCGAAACGTCTCAAAAATCCCCCCTCCCACTTCTCCAATCTTTTTTGCGTTTTTTTTTTTTTTTTTTTTAATACATTTCACATACATTCACGAGGGACTACGCCGCACCTCCCTTCTAGGCGGGGCACATGGCATGGTTTCATTCAAATGAAAGCTCCTCAGAAAAATGGGGAAAAGGAAGACGAGACAGCAAAGTGCGCTACTTAAAACTAAAAAGTTTTATTGAAAAAAAAAAAAAAAAAACGAAATTATTTATAGAGACAATTGCCCTCCACGCATAAGGCGAATTCCTTGTTCGTAATGTGCACCGACGTTGCACTTAGCTCTTTCGTGACCGCGGAAAGAGTAGCTATTTGAATCCTTGCAAACGCTTTTATTTTCCTAATTTTGCGTATGGAGCAATATGACACATCAGATGTGACCAATTAGTTGTCCTTTCAAAAGAAAGCGAGGTTGGTATAATGTGGAAACAATATTTTAAAATATTATTTCTTGAAAATACACTGTACGTGTGGAAGGCGTAAAACGCCGACACTTCTGCAGCTATTCGAATTAAACGACAAATAAAATTCAGAATATACAAAATGTGCCCCGCATCCATGGCTATTCCCTCTGAAAGTTAGTGTAGCTGACGTTGTCTGTTTTTGGTTCGTCAGAGTTAGCCTCCGTAACACGAGCGCTTTGCAACGAGGGAATGCAGCATAGGTGAAACACAGATAGGAAACCTCACATCCTCAGCAGAATGCTTTGTGTGTGTTCTAACTTGGTTTTGTCACAGCCTTGATTGCAGTTCCTTCATATTTAGCATTTTTGTCCACCTTGTTGGGAACATAAAATTGCACGCCGGCTCAGGATAGCATTAGAAATTATAGTGATACAGAAAACATAATTTAAAGTGTCCCCTGAGCTCTTGAGATCTAAAACATATTTCACAATACAATTGAATTACGTAAATAATGCCATCTTTGTTACAAAGACTGATGCAAGCAGTTAGCCAAGTTAGACAAGTGCAACCATCGTTCCCAAGACCATTTTTGACAGCCCACCAGCTTGTGATAAAGCTCGAACCTACGTTGGAATTTAAACTACAGTTTACAGCTATCCACGAGATTGTGGAACATTATTCTCCACTAAACTTAATTTCTTGACGGCGCTTGTAAACCATCGATCACCGGTGAACGATGGCCTATGTGCGTGGTCAGGAAAGTGTTAAGCAGCTTTTCTCTTCTGCAAACTTTATATTGTACGCTTCGAATAGCACTCTCCGTTTTGTTTTCAAGTTTCCCGATAATTTTGGTTTTCTGCAGATTTGGCGCGCACGGGCGTCTGCTAGTCAACAGCCAGATTGCCCGAAGGATAATTTCTGATTGATAAAGCGTGTTCGTGCACTCTCTCGTTAATGCAACGCCCCGTCTGTCCCACGTACACCTTTCCGCATGTCACTGGTATCTCATAGACCACTGACGTGGCACAGTCAACGAACTTTCTGGCGTTTCTTTTCACATAGCGCTTTCGCCTTTCTTGTTATTGCTTTCTGAGCACAGCCCCCGCAGTTTGTACGGAACAGAGAAAACAACAGGCACCTCAAGGTGTGCTGCAACGTTTTTTAGGTTGTGAGACGATCTGTGCACGTATGTGATGACCACCGGTCTCGATCTTCTTCTTAGGGTCTTCTTTACGAGCTTTGACCTAAGGGTTTCCGCGACTTCTGCCAGGGAATGTTGTTGGTAACCGGCAGTTTTCAGGCGCCATATCTGATCGCTGAAACTCTCGCTCATAAGTGCCTGCAGGACTTGCCAAGTGAAGCTTTCATGGATATGAAGCAATAGACCGTTCCATTAGGGTCATAGCAGAGAGGGTAAAAGAGAAAAAAAAATGCACTCCCTCTCTCACCCGCACGTCGTCCGCTCCGCCGAGTGGGCTGTAGCTAGCGTCCGGCTGGCGTGCAAACTTTGTTTAAAATCGAGTCATTTTGGAACTTTCAAGCGCAGATGCGCAGATCTTGATATGCCATTTTTCGTGTAATACTATGCTAGATAAAAAGACTCACAGGGTTCAATTGCGCTGTTACCTGCGTGCAAATAAAAAACAAAAATAGGGAAAACTGTGTCAGATTGGTTGGTCTCTTTGGCGAAAAGTAAATCCGGTTGCTGTACCTCTTTTACTATACAAAGTTCGTACTGGTGTAGGCCTTTAGCGACCATGAGTGGAAGTCTGAAATAATAAATAAAACGTGCTCTCCTGCCGCAATACACGCAGTAGTTGAGGGTACTACTGCCGGCTTACTCAACTGCTATTTAAGTAACGGAAAAAGGATATGCTGGTTGATCATTTAGCGAAATAGAACAGCAGAGAGCTATAGGCTGATTTTGGAGTAGCCACAACTATTCTAAGAACGCGAACCACTTCACAACGGCAGCCACGAGCGAGAGTTCGATGTTCGGTAGAGCCCGCCAATACAGCCCAAAGATGGAGAACGGCAACCTCCCGGTTTGCCGTCTGCTAGCGGAGTCGGGCGCGTGCCCTCTCTCTCGTTTTACCCCGCCAAACCCGCTGAACGTCCCGGATGTGTGGAGAGGGCGCTGCGGTCGAACAAAATGGTGCCGCGGAAAACCCCCTTCTTCGAAGAAGGTAGGGCGAGGGAAAGGAAGGCCGGGGAGGAAGCAGACAAAACGCTGGGGAGAGGTTTCCCCCTCTCCTCTCCAGCGTTCCGTCAGCTTCCTCCTCCCCTGCCTTCCTTTCCCTCGCCCTAATTTCTCGAGTTGCAACGGACCATGACCATTTCACTATAAATATATTTATGACAGATCATAACAATGAATTCAGCTTGGTTTTGTTGAATTGTCATTTCCTGCGTGTTTTGGTTATCTGATTTAACATCTGCTTACTTATTGTGGATAATACTGTTCTCTGGACAACTAACACCGTGAAAAATGCATCTGGTGTAACAAAAAACGAAAAATATAAAAAGCTAATGAAAAAAATAAAAATAAAAGCTTTTCAGAATTATTTTGGAATATCAACATCAAATTGCATTTTATGAGAAAAGCAGCCGACGCCCTCGTTCAAAGCCAGCCTTCCTGGCACGCAACGCCACGCCTTTTCGAAGCGTCGCCTTGTCGTCCACTTCACCTCCTTCTTGCGACACCGAGAATGCACAGGCGACAGAGAGTGGTGTGAGGTGGCTCCTACCGTGTTCACATGTGACGCGTGTGAACACGCGCAGGTGTCTGGCAGGTGGCCGACTCTGCTATGCTTCAAACCTTGTGCCACGCCACACTTCATATGGTAGAGAAATCCGAGTTAGCTTCCATTTGAAAGTAATGCTGCAACAAAATTTGGGACAGACTTGCGGGAAAAATCTCATATACAGGTTATTTAGTTATTCGGCTACATCCATGAACTCCTGTACCATACCTAGGATTTTTATTTTGGGCTACATTATAAAAAAATTGCAGGAAGCCAGGAATAAGAAGTGGGCGTATCTGCATTATTACAAATAAAATGTAAAACGTTTGTGCACCTCAGTACAAAGCACAAAAAGTGTCTTATTCATGAATTCTTTCATTTATTCAAACAAGAATTGCAATAAAAATTAAGAAGCATCTTTGAACTCCCAAAAGAACCCCATTCCCTGCAACACACATAATAAAATTTTTTACAAGTTTGCCTCTAAATCTAACATATGCACTATACAAAAATAGAGCTCTCATAGCCTGGACATAATTTTTTGTGCACCAAAAGAATATAGAAAAAAAATTCAGATTGACCTATTTGGATAAATTTGAATCTCGCATTATGTTACGCTAAAAGCCAAAAAAAAAAAAAAAACGGCAAGGGAAGATACGCTTTAAAAGAATATGATGCACCAATGCGATAACAAGAAGAACTGGAAGCATCACATAGTCCTGCAGTTTGTGGCTCGTTCAACATTCTCATACACTTCATCAAAAATAGAGAAAACACTACCAGGCAATCACTGCTACCACATGTCCATGTCGAGATTTCAAGCACTGATCTATGTTAAAATGCTTCGCCATAATACTTGGGGACAACTTTTCTCGGTATTTCCGACGAGAGGGGGAGAACGTGCACATAGCTTTAACCAGCGCTCAAAATGGGAGAGAACGCGCAGGTGCCTTTGATTGCATTGCCAAGAAAAGTTGTTCCCAAGTGCAGCTACACTTCTGCAGAGGTCACTTCAAAATGAACACTTTACACCATGACAAGGCAACTCATACCTTAGAGTTTAGCTACACCAAAACCTTTCTTTCCTTCAATAATCCTTAAACTGTACATATATTCAAAAATGAACCTCATAAAATAATTTATTACCTCGAGCAAAATGCCAGAACAATGCAAAGTGATTCTCAACCCAAACGCAGCCATAAAAGCGCCCGAGTGGTGATGCGACGTAAGGTAATCATGTGGCCGCATAGGATAGAGTTGCGATAGGACGTACGAAAACTCCGCAAGAAATAATCAAACCACCGAGATGTTTTGGGCATCTACAATTGTCGAGGAGAAATCTATGAATCGTCAACTCATCCCTCCAAAGTCACATTCCTTGTGTTCTTGCTCTGAACAAACTTCAAAGCTTACACTGTGTGGTCAAGCCTGCAAAAATGCACCAATCGGTTCCAAGAGGTGCATCAATGCGTAGCGAGCCCATTAAAGAAGGCCACACACACAAATGTTCAACACTTCTATTGCAACAACTACTACATGACTCCAAAGAAATCAAAATGATTACTAGCACACTCCTCAATATTAACAGAGATATCCAAAACGCCCGACAATCAATCGGCCACCGGAGCGGCCCAAGTGGCCTTTCTTCTGTGTCTCGAGGAGCAGCATGTTCCATCACGTGGTAGGTATAGTTGAACTGATAACCACTATAGTAGTCACTGGCAAGCTGAGAATGGCTTCAGTTGTCCTGCCTCCAGCACAGGCTTCCTGCCTTCGATGATGCCTTGCACTTTTGAGTGCACAAGCGTACCCAAAGCACAGCCAAGGGCACGGAGCGCGTGCGGGAGGCCAGGCGTTTGAAAGATACGACCTGCCAATCTTATTCCGTCAGTGACCATAGGCACTCAGGCAGCGGCATGAAGGTTGGAGAGCATTGCACTTCACACGAGGCATGAATTTAAAAAGCGCGACGCAACATGACAGTTGCTGCATTAATACCATAGCATTCCACTCCTTTAAAAACCGTCAACATCAGGCTCCTTTTTTACAAGTCTCCTTGCATCACACGGCTTGGCAAAGTGGACGGAAAACGGGCAGCACGAATCATGCGGCCATGCCTTTGTCTTTGGTGCCGCCGGCAAGTCCCATGCCCGGCTGGTGCTGCTGATTCCAGAGCATGGAATAGTAGCTGGACGGACAAGCAAGCAGGTCCTGGTGGGTTCCCCTCTCGCACACGTTGCCGTCGCTCAGCACCAAGATCTCGTCTGCGTCAACGACCGTGGACAGACGATGGGCGATGCAGATGGAGGTTCTTCCAAGGGAGGCCCTCCGCAGTGCCATCATGATTTTCTGGAAGAAAGCCACGGAGACCAGGACTCAATCGGCGACTCAGGCACTACTTTAGGCGTGCAGTTCTTGAACCACGGACGGCAGCAACTTTGGAGGAGGCTTACGCCGGCCGGTTTGGGGATCGCTGCGCCGGGGACAAGTGAGGCACCGAAGTGGTACGCCGAAATTTTCAGACCGAATATACTTTGCAGTTATTATAGCTGTAATTTGTGGGCTTATGATCTTAGTATTGACATAGTGTTTGATTGTAGTTTTTTTGTGCATGTTTTTAGTCGGATAACTTATGCGCTTGCTTTTTTCGTGGCTTCTTCATCTGTTAAGGGGGACACTACCTGGGAATGTCAACTTTTGAACCGCTCACTCAATCGGCGTGATATTTTCAGGTGGTGTTTGCAGCCATATAGAAGGAGGGCGTGCAAAGCTTCAGCCCTGTGAACCAATTTTATACCCCCAGAACGAAGTAAAGCATAGCTTTGAATGGAATCTGCTCAATAAATCTATCGTTGAGAAATGGTGTTGATAACCACATATTTTTCTGGTGGAATGCATACTGGAATACCTGTTGCTGGTTACTATGAAAAGAGATTTCAGAAAATTTGCATTACAGTCTAAGCTCGTTACAACAGACCCGGTTACAACAAACATTTGGATATAACATACCGATTTGTGAATTTCGGTTGGTTTTCCTCTATGTACCATTGACTGAACTTCATATCTGCATACAACATACTCCTTTTACAACAGACCGAAATCGTGGTCAAAATCAAGGTCTGTTATACCGAGATTCGACTGTATCAGGTAAAAAAAACATGTATTAAAAACATTTTTTTTTTCACATTTACTAAGTTTTGCCAATTACAATTTTTCATAATAAAGTAACAAGAAAATGCAAAATCAAAGTTTATAGTAACTGGGTCACATTAAGGTCACTTGCCTCCCGATTTCATCAATAGGCAAGTGACCTTAATGAACAGGGAAAAGGAAAAGGCAGAGGACAAATCGAGAAACAGAATCGCAGTGATGCCGTATTTTCACGCCGTGTCACAGAATGTAAAACCGTGCGCAAAAAAATTTGGTGTTAATATGGTTTTCAGCTTGGACTTTAAGTGGGCAACCTCACCCCGTTCCAGAGAGAGAAAAAAGGGTGCCAAAAGGGCCACAGGGAAAAATCTGTGCTTTGTGAAACTGGTGTCGTTTACGACATACCCATGAATTGCGGTTTTAGGTATATAGGGCAGACCTCAAGATGCTTGAACGATCATCTAACTGAGCACAAAAGAAGCGTAAAGATAAAAGCGACTAATTCCAAAATTGCGGCACATGTACAAGAATGCAGAAACTGCTCAGCCGAGTGGTCCGGTACAACGATAGTAAGCGAAGAGGTCAGTGACGTCAAAAGGGTTGTAAAAGAGACAGTAAAAATTAGGTCAATCGGCAATTGCTTAAGTCAGGCGTCTATGCTTCTTAGTGATAGGGCAAAAGCTTTTCTGCGAGTATGAATTGAACAGGTCTTGTGTTTTTCGCGAGAGGTACCTCCTTTGTCATGATCTTGTTCCGTTTGTATGCGTACATAAAAAAAAAAAAAGAAAGGAGAAAAAAAAAAGGAAAAAAAGGTGTAACAGGTTGATGGGTTCGAACTGCAGTTGGTTCCGTGTTGTTCGTTTTTTGTAAAGATAAGAGTGGCTGCAAGGTCAAAGGATGTTCCCTTCGGCCGATGTTTTGATGTGTGTACCTTTTGTTAATTCAAAGTGGATTTTTTTTTTATTTATTTATTTATTTTTTTTTAAGATCAGCATGGCTGCGAAGTCAAGGTGTGTCCCCTTGGTGCTATTGTTTGGAGTGTTTTTTATGGTGACGATTTTGGATTCATGATGTATAAAAGGAGGGAGCACTGAATAAAGTGGTTAGCTGTGTTTGAGACGTCGTCGTGTTTCTTCCACCCAGTCTCAGGTGGTCTAAAAAAATGGTAAACATACACCAGCTAGCGAGTGAAAACGCTTTAGTGTTTTTCCACTCTCTAGATGTTGGCGGATGTAAATAGGGCCTTTTTCAAAATCAACGTTTTTGCAGAATTTTTTTTTTCTGGGTAGTGTCCCCCTCTTAAGCTTAAGTTGTGAGTACAGCAGTGTCTTGTCGTATTTGTGTCACTTCGTTTCTGTTTACGAAGCTGTCTATCCCCATCCTGTACATTACCGATTGGCCCAATGTGCTACGTTAGTACAGCTATTGGCATCTCCAGCGAATTACAGGGGGCACATTGGTCAGGCAAAACGGCAGACAAAAGGAGGTAGGCTTCATGATCCAGCGCGCGAGACATCTTATACTTCTTGCGTCACAGCGTAGGATCAATGTTAATATATAAAAGCGAAGTGCTTTTTGGACAGAGCAAAGCTTCTTCTGTTCAGTGCATAAGAGCGAGACGGTGCAAGCATAAAAATCATTACTGAAAACAAAGATTTTTTTTCTTTCATCAGCTTTATCCGAAGCTAGACTTTCGGTTTACTTTGGTGGCACTCAATTTCGTGAAGTGGAACATATGAAAAATCCCCATGCCCCCTTGTAGGGTGACACACTACTGTAAAAGAACCAAGTATCGTCCCCTCGAAGGTCGCCAAGGGACGGTTAGGGGTTTGCGTTGCAATGCGCTGTGAACGTCTTTCCCGAGTTAACGTTAGAAGAAAACTGTGAATGACTTCAATAGGTTGCCAAGTTGTTTAGCTAAGTACAAGTGGTCTAAGGGTCAACTCAAGCCCAAAAAGGAAGTGAAGGAACTCCATCGTAACGCTTCCTCCGAGACAGATTATTGAGGCATTCCAGCTGGTTGTGATCAGGTCACCGGGCCCCGGCTGTACCGAATCCGCTCAAGTACAATTCTACAGGGCGCATTCTTTTGCATCAGCAAGAATGTGATTGTGGCAGTTGTGTCGAGAAGTCCCAGGAGTGCGACACAAAACACGACCCGACTGCACTTCGGCAAGAAATGTCAGTGACAGTGAGAAATAGGGTCGTTCACATAGGTGGGCGTTCCGATTTATGGTTTATGATGTTTTAAAAATACTATTGATAGGGAACCTGCACAAAATGACATGTGCTCCTATGGATATGTGTTTTGTGCAAACTTAAAGCTACGCTGAATGAAGCGGAGAGCCTGAATATTGTTTGTACATAAACGACCAGTTTTTCATGAGTGGTAGGTGAATCGCACTAATTAGGTCTTCGCGTAAATTAGTTCCTGGTCAGCGTAAGAATGTGCGTGAAGCCCATTAACACGCCATAGCAATCACATCTGATAACATGTGTGATAACTTTCGAATTGTCTGGTGTTTCAAATGCATAGGGATCTATACTCAATTTCACCTCAAGAAAAAAGCAAGTTTTGCGCATTGTTCGTACGCTGCGCGAAGTTCTTACGAGATTTGGTTGTCAGAGGAAGAAGCGATGCTTCTGTTGTTTGAATTGTGAATGTCGATGCTTCTGTTGTTTGAATTGTGAATGTCTTGATAAGATAACATATAACTAAAATGTACCTACATGTATCTCAATTTTCCACATAAAGGGGGAAATTAGTAATGCTTTGCGAGAAGCCAGACTTTTTTTTATTACGGTTCTTGAGGTGAAAACGAGTTTAGTATTCTTTTTGATTGATTAAGAGAAGATGCAGGTTGAAAAAAGATTTTTTTGGGAAATTGTCAATTATCTGTTTTTGCTTGCTTCACTATCCTTGGGCATCCTACTTTTACAAGTAAAAAATACAAAAAAAAACTGCACCCTAAGTTAGGAAGAAAAATGTGTTGACTGACTTCCGGTATTTGAAAAATATATCCACCATCTCCAAGAGGCTGTCGCTTGGGACAGCAGCACTTTCTACCAGGGACTCAAACCGTAACCGAAAACTGTTTACCGGAAACCCACCTAAAACCAGGAGCAGATCAGGTGAAAATAAGAAGTGGGCTAACTTTCAACGTACAATCAAGAAGAAAAAAAAACTATTTTTTAGATTATGTTTTTTTGCCAAACTTGTTATTGTGGCAAGGTACAATGAAGCAAAGATGATTGTACTCCCCAGTCAGAAATGTTTGCTTACCATAGGATACCACACATCTGCCCATTCCACACTAAGCGCTCATTCTCAAATTTGTAAGATCTGAGAAGATATGCAGGGTACATTGATATGTTAAATTGATGACCTGACAAGCGCCCATCCCCCATTTCTTCGTGATTTTCTTTAAATCTTGAGTGGGCGCTTGCCCGGTATTTTATGGTATATCCCGCCAGTGCTTAGTGTCGGGGGGTCTCAGGGGGTCTCAGGCCCCCGCTGATCTTAGAGGGTGGTCTGAGACCCCCCCACAATAGCTTTGGTGTTGGTGAAAACACAATCATAAGTCCTCCATCTTGTAATCAGAAATGTTAGGATTTTCCCTATGCAAGTTTCGTTGAATAGCCATCTCCAGAGAGACCAAACTATGTTGTGAGTAGCCATATCGATTTCGTGTGGAACAAAATGGCATATGTTTAAGGGACACTATTAATTCTTGACGAGAAAAATAACTGGAATCAATATTCATACCTGCCAAAAGCAGAGAAACCAAATCAGGGAGAATTTCTAAGCCGGGGGGGGGGGGGGGGGGGGGGGGGGAGGGGAGTTGCGGTTTTTAAAAATAAATACTGATAACAAATTTCCATGAAGGCAACGTCATTACATTTATATTGCACTGCTCAAGCTAGCGAGATACAGCTGGGCCTCGTTATCATTGCAGCCGTTTGTTGCAACGGGAGAGACTCCTTGTTTAAGTAATTTGAGTTCTACGGGAGATTTTTCTGTCAATCGTACAACCATACAAATTGGTCAAAATTTAGGAGTCTCCCGGGTAATACGGGAGACTTGCCAGGTATGAATATTGCTGGTCAGTCTTGTTTCCCACGCCGGGTTACGCATGTTTCTCGCTTTTGAGTCCATCTAATATGATTCCCCCCTTCCTCCCTTTACCACAGTTTGTAGAGGCCGCCCTGCGACTTACGGGACACTTTAAATCCTGCCATAGCTAACTAGCCCCATTTATGCTGAGGTCATCATTGATCTGAACACTACAATTACTAAAAGTGGGCTACCTTTTGGTGTTTAAAGGAAAATAGCAAATCAAGAAAAAAATAGGGTCAAATTATCTTTCGGGGGTGGGTATCTCTAGGGATATTAATTTAGGTGTAGGAAGATTTTCAAATGAACAATGTGTTTAGTAGCCGCCACAGATGAAACACTGAACTTCAATAAGTTGTAAAGTCACTAATAATTAGGGGTGTGCGAATATTGAATTTTTCGAATAAGAATCGAATACGAATAAGACCAAAAACGGGCTCCGCATATCTAATCAAATATCGAAAATGTGTCTAGTAAACAAAAATTACAAAACAAGAGGTAACAGCAGGTTTTATTGCCTTTTTAAAATAAATCAATGAAACTGTGTTTACTGAGCTGCTACAGGCTAAAGATACTTCTAGTAATGCACTCACTACAAATTATTGTGTAGGAAAATTAACTGCTCTACGTGTTCAGAAAGTAAGCGCTCCTTTCGCACCGTGACAACACTTCCGCCAGTAGAAATACCCTTTCACTCGGGAAACCTGCGGAATGTTACTAAGGTTTGAAGAAGTTAGACTTATGGAAAGTGTTGCCCAGCTGGTACACGAATATTTTGGTTTTTGAGAAACAAATAATTTGAAAAGTAGTTTGTTTTATATTTTATAAAATGGTTACCAATGTTTACACCATATAAAAGCAAAAAATATTCGCTTTTAACGCCTTCATTAATTATTAATGTGAACCAGTGATGCCTGTAAACCCAACATAGTGCATTTTTCCTCCGCCAAGTGGAGTCACTAAGTATTATTTTTTTTTTTTTAAATTTTTGCACATGCGCACAAAAGTCGAGCTTCAGTCAAACCTTTGTCGAGCATCACATTGAAAGTGCGAAAAAGTCTAACTTGGTCGCACTCAAAGCTGGGCAGGTTTGTGACATTTCTAGTTTTGACTGCGTGGGAGTGGCAGGAGTTGTTGTCGATGCGATGCAATGTTCTGTTCACACCTAGCTTTTTCCTTTTTCATTTTCAAACATTTATATTAGATAACACTCTAGAGATTTGTTTTATATTTATATTTCACACTCGAGGTTTATTTTATTGTATCAATTTATAAAACGTGCAATTACATCACATATCGCTATAAAAGTGTCACACAATAAAGGGCTTGGTGAAAGAGAAACCGAAACTGATCCTCTCTTGCTCCCATCGGACAGATAGAAACAGAGCAGACCGATAACGCACGCATCATACGCCTTTCTCAGTGAATAAACATTCCTAGGGGAATGTGTGGCAAGCAGATTATTCGTTACTTACTCAAATATTTGCAGTTTGTGTGAATATTCGCCGCTTTTCGTGGCCGAATATTCGGGAACTTCCGAATATGCAATTTTCGAATCGAATACGCTTCGAATAAGGAAAATATTGGATTCGCATTCGAAATTTCGAATGTTTGCACATCCTACTAATAATGGTTCAATCTAAAAAGTGCCTCCCAATATTGTATTTTCTATGATTCATAGCATCTAGCAATGTGTTGAAACATAATTTTTTTTATTGTTTTCTTATAATTATATTTAACCAACTGTCTAAAAATTACGAGATACTCGAAATCAGCACGAAAATCTCAACAAGCTTGTGGTTTTGCATTCGGTTTGATAAAAAAATAAGGAACAAAGCTGCAAGACCAGCGTTCCCCCTTAGACTAACAGCTGCACTCCATTGCTGACTTCCTCTTCCAAGGCCTTGCCTGCTAGGGCGAGACCAACGCAAGCGAGCAGGGTCTGTGAAGGATTCCGCTATAAAGTTACCACCTTGAAAATGTGGCGCCACGACATTGTTCTCCAAAGGGCGTCGAAAGAACTCCCCTCGCACGTTGCCCCACTCCCCGAAGCATCTGACTCACATGTTCGGTGATGGAGTCGAGGGAGGAGGTGGCTTCGTCGAAGACCAGGATGGGGCTGTTCTTGAGGATGGCTCTGGCGATGGCCACCCTCTGCTTCTCTCCCCCAGAGAGCTTGAGGCCCCTCTCGCCCACCTGTGTCTCGTAGCGCTGGGGCCATGCCATGATCGAGTCGTGCAGCTCCGCCATGTCCGCCGCCTTCTGCACGTCCTCGATGGGTCGGGAGAAGTCCCCGTAGTGCAGGTTGTACTCTATCGTGTTGTGGAACAGCACGGCGTCCTGCGGGCAAGGGCAACCAGTCACTGCTACGAGTCGCCGCAGCGACGAACAAATCTCGAATTTTGCCTCGAGATTATTTAGTAAATGGTATAATGTTCCGCATTATTGAAGTTTAGTTCTTCGGATTCAGGGTGTTTCTTGGGGGGGGGGGGGGTCTTTTTTCCTCAGATGCAAAGTTTTCCTACGTCGATTATCGGTGTTGGAAGAAAACAAAATTGGTGTCGACAGGAGTTCACGTTGAAGAAAACAGGATGCGGAAATGGGATGTCCAAACCTCCAGGGAACGTGGACGTTAACCAAATGCTTGGAAATGTACTGGTACCAATGAGAGAAGGAAACGAGATAAGGTTTGGGGTTCCAAAGAAAGAAGCAGCCAGATAAGTGGGGACTCTGTTACAGGTCAACACTAACTTAACCAGTAGATAGATATGGTCTTCCCATAAAGCTCAAAGCTTTCTTTTGCAGCAGCGGCTCCAATTAGGGGTCTATCGGTTCTGCCTGATTTGGATAGGATCGTCGCGAGAGTTAGCCTTAGGGGTTTATGGGAATTTACCGAAAACAAGAAACCCTGCATTTACGCTCGTCGAACTACTTTCTCATTCTTCTTGCAGTGTCTCGACTGTTTTTTGTATTATGTGCAGATTTTTATGGTGGTGTCTATATGTTCTATCCTTGCGGAAGGCTGCGTTAGCTCCAAGTTCAATCTTGACACAGAAAATGCCACTACAACAAAATTTATGCAACAACGAAGCATTTCTGATTCACCGTCAATGACTTGCCAAAGATAATGCGTCAAAATGCCCTCGACAATGAACCACATTTTTTTTTAACATTGCTCTGTTTAGAAACTGCTCTCACAAAAAATAGCTAGAACTCTACCAATTTACAAACCAAAGGATCATAAAATTATCCTCTTGTGTCTCTGGAAGCGTACACTGTCAATAATGCAACAATATATTGGCACGTGACTTCACCAAATGGCCGCCAAAATCACAGGCGACCATAGCCATGTAAACAGCACGCAGAATGCCACTGTTCTATGGCGATGACAACATAGCGAAGCAATTAATGAAAGTTGCAAACTCCTTGCAGAAATAAGACATCTTGGATTGTGCCCTGCTGGCAGAGAAAACAATACAGCAAAACAGAAACTGTAGCATGAAAACAATTTTTTTTTCTTCTTTTTTGTGTTTTCTTGGGCAGGGAGAAATGCTCATTGAAACTCATGACTTACAGTGGTAACTCTGATTTGCTGCCCGTTACAAAGTTCTGTGATAAGCCAATGCAAGGCGAAAAGCCAAAAGAATCCAACCAAATCCGATCCAAAAGGCTCAAGCCAAGCCCGAACTCGTACCGCAAGAGATGATCTGTCAACACATGATATTGCGCTACAATTTACTGCAGGTAATGAGCAACATAGATCACTGCCCTAAATGTTCCAGCATGACGCTGCTGTGTAAGAAGCGGCCAAAGATTTTCATATCTCGCTTAGTTCACTGTCCCAGATTTTGAAATCTATGGATAACATTCCCGAGGCACTTGCTCTGAAGGCGTCCATGCGACACAAGAAGCTAATGCGGCCAGTATACAAAGGTATTGAGAAGGCAATGTGTGAGTAGTTTCTATGAAAAAGCGAACGATGAAGCAATTAGTAAGAGCATCCAATGATGAAAATGATGCTGTGCAGGATGCACCTGCACCAGCGACTACATCAGAATGGATACCTTCGATATCACTATCAGAAATTTTCTAGATGCCCATTACAATGCCGTCACATAAAATTTGCCGACTACAAAAAGTGCACTATGCTGCTACCCAAAGGAAAGTTCAAACAGCCCAAGCTAAGCAATGAGGTGGCACCCCCCCCCCCATGACTGGGACACATGGTACCTGGGGCCGCAATCCGGCTGCTACGCCAATAATCATGAGTGCAGCAAACGCACGGAGCGGCGTGCGTCTCAAGGACGTTTGTTGAATAAAGGGTGGTCCAAACCAAGCCACAAAACGCCTGTCGTCTATAACGCTAGAGGCAGAGCCCTTTTAATGCCAAAGCATTAACTGTCCCATGGAGGGAGCCCATGTCATCAGCCGCACCAAACGGCAGATAAATTCCTGAAGCCGCGTGCTGAGGCATCACGGCTTTGAAACCACGCAGAAAGTCACACAAAACGGCAGTGATATAAAGCCGCTGCGCGTCAGTTTCAATTAGTGCCTTCCCATGGCGCTGCATGTCCGCGAGGCAGTGGCTTCACCGCTCCACGCCCAAGGTCAGCGTGGCGAGGAGAACGCGTGCACTCGACCGTCAGCGCAAGTACGCCATAGACGAAATAAGGAAGCGGAGGAACAGCATGCATGCTTTTGCATTCACAACTCATAAGAAGTGCTTAGGTGTATCTCGAGCCTTTTTTTTTCTATAACTTCTGCCCGTCGTCTTAGCCCAGAAGCGTGGAGAAGTGTCTGAACGAGCAGTGAAAGGGACAGCACGCTGGAGTGCCGGAGACAGGAACGTTAAGTGGGAAAAGGAAAAATGCACATTGCAGGTGGGAAAAAGAGAAAAGGAAGTTTTAGTGGAATTTTGGAGTGGCTTTGAGCAGGACAATACAACTAAAAGCAACTGCTTCTAAGGCCTCCCTTTGTCCACTTGCAGGGTTCTTGACAAGCAACAAGCACCCCCCCCCCCCCCCAACTTTACTCAAGGTGGACCACCTTTCCCTGATAGGCAAAAGGGCTCTCAGGGCCCGGAAAAAGTTCACTATATTGAACTTTGGACCCACGAACCAAGACTCGGAAAATGTCACGTTGACATCACTCCACTCTCCTGGATTTCTGCAGAACCCGTTTTGCGGCTTGGTTTGGACCGCCCTTTAAGAAACACAAGCAGTGAAAACAGGTACAGCGCAGCAGTATCTAAAGCAACCAGTGCTGGCGCCCCTACCTCACATCCTCACGGCACTGTCGCTCAGATCTGGTCAGTACAAATATTGCCGTGCAGTGCACCCGTGGTGCGCCTAGCAGCGAGCGCCGCATGGTGCCCAATTTTATCCCTAATGTGTTCCTTCCTTACTGTTTTTACTCCCCACGTTACGGCTTGGCAGTCACTACGGCTGTTTATACCTTCCTCGCGCTTAGCATTATCTTAAACTCTTAGTCTTGTTCTTTCATTATTTTTTTCTCAATTCTTTCAATGTTTTTTTTTTTTGCTTTCTTGTTTTTGTTTTTGTTGTCTGATCGTGGAAGTTTTGCTTGTTGATAATTTTGTTACAGTCATTTTGTTCTCACCGCACCATGCGCCATGCGAGTGTCAAGTTAATTAACACGATTGTTGGAAGGGTTCCATATCCACAATGCGCAATTACCGTAAAGTTCTAAAAGAATGCCCACCCCCGAGAGAACGCCCATCTCATCTTAAAGCGAAAGCATTAGCTGTCTCATGGAGTGAGCTGAGGTCATCAGTTTTAAGCGCGAAAACGGCACCTTAAATCCTTTTTCTAAGTGTAGCCAGTTCCCAGCTCCGAGCTATGAAACCATGCGAAAAGCCTAGGCACAGCACCTAGCTTCCCCGATCCCAAAGGAGCAAAGTAAAGCTGATGAATTTTCGGCTCCAGCCCCATTGGCTGGTGCGCGTTGACGTCAGTTTCAACGATCACTCACCCGATGGCGCTGCGCAAGGCAGTGGCTCCACCGTTCCATGCCCAAGGTCAGCGCGCCTTACGCCGCAGACAAAAGAAGGGAGCGAAAAGCGGCGTGCGTGCTTTCACATTCACAACTTCTAAGGAGTGCTAAGGTGCACCTTGAGCCTTTTTTCTTGCTAAATAGCTGTAACATAAAAATTGCGAAACATCGCCCACCCCCTGATTTCCGTCAGAGTCACATTTGCCGCGTCATTTGCTGTACTCGTACATCTGATAAGCGGGTTCGTAGCGGGTTCCCGCGTTTTTTCCACCACCTGCGCAAGCTTTTTGAGGTACGATAACACGCAAGTTGTTCCCGCATGTATATTGCATCGTAGAATGCAAATCTGCTGCATCCGCGATCTGCGGTATCTGTCCCCGTGACATGAGAGTTTGTAGCGGATTCCAAAGTTTTTGTTTGTGACTTGCACGCACACTATCGATTCTTGTAACACGTGAGTTTGTCCCACTTGTATATTGCATCGTAAAATACGATTCTGCTGCATCCACGATCTGCAGTATTCGTTCCTGTGACATACACGAGTTTGTAGCGGATTCCAGCCATTTTGTCCGCGGTCTGCGTGCGCGACATTGGTCCCCCTGACAGGAATGTTTGTAGTGGAATCCTGCGTGTTTATTGAACCATAAAACTTTAATTTGCTGCATTTGCAATTTGCGGTAATCGATCTCGTGAGATGCAAGTTCTCGGCGGGTTTCGGTGGGTCCTTCGCACGGTCAAACATAAATCTGCTGCATCTCCAACCTGCGGTAACCTTTCCCGTGACACAGGAGTTCATACCGAATTCCAGAGTGTTCATCGCATCGTGAAACATGGATTTGCGGTGTCCACGATCTGGAGTATCAGTACCCACGTCACGTGGTTTGTAGCAGGTGCCCTGTGTTTATCATTAAATTTTTATCAATTTTTGCTGTGGCATCCTTAAAGATAGCCACACCATGTTTTTCACCATTTATCTCTTCATTTTGGGTGGGCATTCTTTTGGAACTTTACGGTAGCACAATAAAAATTCGGCATCTCGCTTATCTCAAAACTTTGTTTATCTCAAACGTTTTCTAGTTTTTTTTTTTCTTCTGAGATAGCAAGTGTTTACTGCATTCGTATCTGATTCATAATAAAATACCTTAATTGATCTACCTCCTACTATGTCTCGATTCTATGCATCACACATTACCTGGGGCACAACTGCAATGACTTTTCTCAGGCTGTCGAGATTCACGTCCCTTATGTCCTGACCGTTAATCAGGATGCGGCCCTTGTCTGGGTCATAGAAGCGGTACAGCAGACGTATGACAGTGGATTTCCTGAAACATAAGGCACATATGGTATAATATAGGCAGCATATTTACTCGATTCTAGAACGACCAGATACTATGCATATTGCAAGAAATAAGTTTAGATATTGCACAGTGGGAAAAAATAAAACCACCATTGTAATGTGAGGCTAACTGAGGAACAACAAAGTAGTACCTTCGTGGCACTTTATTCAGTACAGTTAGAGCGCCCAGAGGAATGAAAGCCGTGAAAGTTCCAAAACAAAACTCCAAGCTAGAAGCAATAGTGCTAAAACTATGAAACCGTTGCGCCGGTTTAGTTACTCTGAAATCAACTATAGAGGTCAACACCAAGAAAATTGCATAAACTGACAGGTTTGATAGATTTGGAATCTATGGTTCCCATTTCAAGTAGTACCAAGAGGTATAAGTTGCCAGCATAAAACTGACAAACTGTTGGAATCCAGGTGGTCACGGCACCGGTAAGGTTAATTTTGAGGTTTTTCAATTATAACGCAAAGATCAATCTTAGAGCACAAAATTTTCAGAAAAAACTAGAGTTACAGATGAGTAAGTATATGATATGTCGAGTTTACCAGAAAGTTCTGAACTTGGTCAGACCTCGTACAAAGAAGGGCACAAGGTGTGCAGCAAAAAAGGTAGGTCCAGTGGTTGCACCTTTTAGTAGCTGAAATAATGTTCAACTGTATAAACTAGTTCAGTTATCTCAGGCAAATCAAATGTTCAGTCACAACAACACACAACTGCAGAACAGAAGTGAATTCTGATGCAGAAAAATGCTAATAATTGCACCTGAGCATATTTATGTGAACCAAAAATATAGTTTTGGATGCAATGAGAAAAAAAAGAAAACAACCAAAGACAAGCACACACGCAAGCGTGAGACGATAGAAAGAGACCAAAGTATACCAGGAGTAGGCTTAAGATATTCTCCAGTCACGTATAATTTTTATTGCACCTAGCGGAACCTCAATGCCCAACAGGGCTTAAAGGAACGACTGACTCATTCATGTAGCTTTGTAACAAGTAGAAAAAAGCAACGACGACTTCCATATCTTCCCAACCATGTTTTGAAAACACTTTCAACATCTTTTTCTGTCGCATAACTGCTACAAATGTGGTGTACCAGACCATGCAACCTTTGTGCATGCCGGCAGTAATTGAAACTGAGTTTTGAGCAACAATTAAATTAGATACATGTGAATTAATTCTGCTTCCCCCAGACAGAGCTGATTACTCTGTGGGGAGTAGCTCAGAGGACTGCTCTTGTGGGTAGAGAGGAGTGCGAAAGGCACTTGAGCAGCCAGGGGGGAGGCTTATGGGGCTTCAGCCCCCAATGAAATCCGGCCGACCCTATGACATATGAGAGGTGATCAGAAAGTTTTGCAACTCGGCTATAATCAAACGTTTGACAGCGATGTCTCTATAACCGTTGATTAGCTCATCTCTCTAGCCAAACATGTTCTTAATATCAAGACTTCCGGTACCGCTTTTTATTTGCACCAGTCAGCAGTCAGTTAAACATGGCGTCCTCCCCCGATTTCAAGCTTGAGTACTGGAGCATTATAAAGTTTTTGTGCAAAGGGAGTTCTGCCAAGCAAATTCACAGTAGAATGATGAATGTGTGTGGCAATGAATGCCCCACATATGCTACAGTAACTCGTTGGTTCAATGAGTTTAAACGCGGTCGTGTGGACGTGCAAGACAACCCAAGGTCAGGGCAGCCCAGCCCTTCAAGCAATTTGGAACATTCAGCCCGAGTTGAGAGCCCCATCATAAAGAATTGCAGCATTGAGGTGTCCGAAGCGTTGCTATAGAATTGAACATTTCGTATGGCAATGCTTTTACAATTATCCATGACGTTTTGGGTATGACGAAGGTCTCGACCCGATAAGTGCCCCGGAACCTCTCTACGCAGGATTGACGGCACCGCTTGCATTCATCAAGGGAGCTTTTAAGCATCTATGAAAGCGACCCAGAAGATTTTCTCGCCCGACTTGTGACTGGGGATAAGACGTGGCTTTACCAGTGGGACCTCGAAACAAAACAACAGTCTATGCAACTTTCTAGCCAGGCTGTATAAAATTTTTTTTTCCCTTTGGATATGTTTTTTAATCTGTCACTGACCATAGGGGGGCGATTCAGAGTTTCCGCCTAGTTTCTTCAGTCATGAATGTGACAAAAACATTCACTACATTTCCTCGCCTTGCTATTATTGCATAGTGGCGTACTACACGTCTCAGTTTATCGTAAGGTTTCAGTTCTGCTTCCTTCTAATTGCAATGTGCCGAGACGCGACGAAACCAGGACGTCATGGGAGCTTCAGCGGCTCAGTTTAATCGGCTGCATGTCTGCACACCTTGCCTATTGATGCCATCAGTTCACTTTTGTTGCTTGAAGAGACCGTGAAACGAAAACTGGCAGCGAGAAACCGAGGGAGCCCTCTTTCCCATTTGCAATTATTTCCTCTTCTTCAATACGTAATAAAAAAAAATATAAATAGAGATCCTGGCTCATCATGATGCACTGGGTCTTTTCTGTGATGGGTAACAAAGCGGCAACTGTTCGCTTCAGCTTTTCTTTTTAATAATAATAGTAGTAGTAATAATAATAATATTAATAATACTATTTATTTGCAGGGGAAGTGTTACCCGAGGTGGCCTGCAAGGCTAGAAGAAAAAGGCGAGAGCCCGTGCGCTGGTGCGCCTGTTAGCCTGCCACCGGGGTGGAGTATAACAACAATAACCTAACAACATAACATGACAATAGTTCAGACAGAAGATTATACATCGCTTTCTTTTTTATGTTTTGCTATTTCTAAGGCTCACTGTCCCGCAATGTTAAAACTAAAAGGCAGACAAAGTGAAAAAAAGAAACTACTGCATGGCCTCTTTAACGAAACTGTCACCTGAATTGTTGCTAAAACAAACCTGTGTGTCGTTTTTTGACGCAATTCTTTTTTCACAAACTATTGCCGTTATCTTTTCCAAAAATTAGGAACAAAATATTTTATTCAATATAACTAGGCATTTTTATGATTATGAGGAAAAAAAAGAAAAAAAAGAGATCAGACTTGCCCTGTAGTTGCTCATCAAAAGCCTCATACGTACCCTGTTCCACTTCCCCCTACAAGGGCAACTTTCTTCCCCGCAGGTATTAAGAAGCTCAGATTCTTGAGGATTGGCTGCCCATTCACGTAGCCAAACGAGACGTCCTCAAAGGCAACCGTGGCATTGCTGCTGTCGACACTCAAGCGGGGTGCTTCAGGCACGGACTGCAGAGGGCAGAAGGAAAACAAAGAGACTCAGACTAGAGAATGGTCGTCACCGTTCTAATAACACCCTGGCATAAATTCTTCGACAGTTCCTTGTTTCCCGAGAAAAGTTAGCGAACAAGTCAGACGAAGCTACAAAAAACGACCGCATCTCCACGTGGTGAATGATGTTGATTGGGGCGAAGCTCTGGGGGTGCTTGTCTGCGTAGACACTGAGCCGCAGCATGCCGAGCCTTTCGTTTGTTTTCATCCATGTCAGAAAGAGAATGTGTGGTATGGAACATGGTTATATACGCATTTGAGCATTTGACCGCAGCGCCCTCTCATCTATAAACGTTGAGCCAATGCATGCAAAGTTTCCATGACATCCCCAGCTCTTCAGCTACTACCACATCTTAGAGCCCCCCTACCCGTCTCGCAGTCGTGGCCATTCACTGGTAAGACCCAGGAGGGGAGAATATGAGCAGCAAAAACAATGAAGAAAAACAGCAAGCAGCCCAGAAACAAACAGTAATTGATTGACAAATAGTAGTACTATAAACAAACTTCAGTTCAAAGCAGAGGTACAAATTTGGAAGACTGATGCTCTTTGTCAGAATACTGTAGTTGGGGGGTCCAAGACACACTTCACACAACTCACGAAGTAAGGGTGTATCAGGCACGTGCACTGACCTCAATGGGAGTCTTGATTTGCATGAGCACAAACATTGTCTGCATGTCTATGAGAGACTGCTTCACCTCTCGGTACACGGAGCCGAGGAAGTTGAGAGGCAGCGACAGCTGGAACAAGAGCCCATTTACCATTACGAGGTCGCCCACAGTCATGCTGCCTGCAACGAGTCAATGGCATTCCTCACGTAAGGCTTTGTTCAAACAAAATGACATCTCAAAGCATCATTCTTCCAACTCCACGACGAAGAAATTTGCGACGCGGCGATGTCAAGTCTAATGGCGACCAGTTGTGCCTTTGTGCCGTGCAAAAGTCTGAGATACATATGATTGACAATTAGATTAAAATGGACCTCAAGGAGACTCATTCTAACTGCACTATTCTATAAAAGCAAACCATCTAAATGTGTACCCCGAAATTTGACACCTCAGTGTAGAATGGGAGCAAAGTATTAATGCTGAAATTATCTCCTTTTTTCTTTTTGTGCACATGGGCGGGGGGGGGGGGGCAGATTGTTTTGGGTGCTGCTGACCCTAGTGACGCCACTGTGTTCAGGCATATTTTCTTAGCTGATTCACCTGGAGCTATCCAAACTTGCTATAGCTTCTAATATGGCAGTTCTCAAGAAACCATTGAAGTCATGTCTGATCAAAAACTGGTAACAGGCATCCTAAATCCTTCACAGCTCTGACTTACAACAAGAACAACAACCTGTTTAATGAAGTTAATCTTGTAAAGTTGAAGTGCTAAATTATTGAATCTGTTAAAGGAAGGCCTATGGGCAAAGTCCCTTTAGTACCCCCTCACTTCAGGTAGTCCCAGCAAATCAAAACAATCTAAAAGTAAACTCCACTCCCTCTCCCCACTTAAAGGGCAACTCTGGTAGAAATTAAACCAAAATAAATGACTGGTATTGCTTTAGTGGCACAAAATACGATCCCATTCAAAATATTATGTCAAAGTGAAGCCGCATACTCCACTAAAACCAATTTCAAAGATGCGACCAGCTGCTCTTTAGCGGCAGGCAAGCGGGTTAGTTTTTAGTCGAGGAACACTGGTGCAGCACCCTTCTGGTGTCGAGTCGCGGTGGAGCTGCTATTTACTGGTTATGCCACGTACCGCAGCACCAGTGTGACATGACGCCGCGACCGTACGGCCAATGACCAGTGTTGCCACCCCTCTAGCAGATAGTTTCAGTTTTGCCGTAGACGCTCGAAATCAAACTTTGAGCCCTGATATTTATAAAACTACACACGATATTGAAAAAAAAAAATTATACCTTGTAATTTAGGGACGCTGTTTTAGATGAAAACGGTCGTAATCCCAAATTAAAAAATGTTGATCGGAATGACCTTTAAACGTCCCAATAATTCTAAACCCATACATTTCGAACTACCGTAAAATACTGCGGAGGCGCCCACTTTAATTAAGCGACCACTATTCCTATTTTCCAAATTTGGTAATTCTGCAAATTATAAGCCCCAGATTTGACCGGAAAAGGGCTGATGTCTAGATTAAACCAATTTTCAGTGAAAGCGGGGTGGGCACCCCCTCGGTATTTTACGATATGTTAAAATAAACAAGGCATAATTACTCTAGCACGACACCCTACCGGTTTTTCGGTAGAGTGACTCAGTGATGTGATTGGCCTAAGCCATTTTGGAGCACCTTTTGGAGCAGTCAAAACGGTGTTTTGGAGCAGCAAATCTGGGCTTTGGAGCAACCAAAACAGTGTTCTAGAGCAGAAAAGTGGCTTTTGGAGCAGCCAAGACAGTGTTTCAAAGCAGCAAAAGTGGCTTTTGGAGCAGATATTCTTAGAAATAGAAAAATATTTGTTTTAAGTGCTGTACAAGTGAAAAGCACTTTGTGTTGTTCTGATGCGACTTGTTGTGACGGAACTCGCTGCTTGTGTTTTGTGTACAGTGCTGTAGGCATTGCCGAGTGATTCCGAAACATTGCTTGCCACAGTTTTACTGGCTCCCAACGTGCGAGATTTTTGTCAAAATTAAGAATAACGTAAAACAATAGATTGCAAGCGTCTCGACTGGTGCCTCTGTCGTGCGCAAGGTCAACTTCGGCAGGCTTGCAGATGCGCGTGCCACTCCGCTCCTTCGCCAACTCATTCACAAAATTGTATGCAAAATGTAACTGTCGAGCATACGACAAAAAAGCAGTCCAGCGGCACATGCTTGACAGGCCAGCAAACAAGGTACAAGCTAAACACACACAAAAAAAAAGGAACCTGAGCACATTGGTGCAAGACATCTCGAGCCAAGGTCAGAAAGTTCTTGGAGTGCTTTGTGCAACGAGCGAACTCGAGACAAACAAGCGCGGGTTCAGCGTGCAGACATTGCCTTCTTTGTTTAGCTCACTTCTAGTCACCAAATTTTTTTTGCGGCAGATTTCTACGTACCGGGGTCCCTCTCGAAAGACAGCACACCGGGAGAAACCTAAGTAATCATCTCGACACAGCAGTCTTCGAGTTAAAGAGAAATTTTTGTAGTAACGTATGATTGAACATGCCGCGGTATTTAGTTTCATCTTAGAAAGCGCCATATCTGCAGTGACACGGGGATGGCAACACCTGACGTCGCACGACTATGGTGACTGGAAGGTAGGGACCAAATATAGTTTTTCCACGACCGTTGCTTTCAGGAGCAACTGCTTCAGCTCACAAAGTAATTTTTGCTGCGCAAAAACATGGTTTCGTTTCACAACACGACGGCATGGCTGGTACCCGGCACGTTAGCGTCGTAGCGGCTGTGCACATCAGTCTATCATTGAAAATATATTAAAAAAAGACACGAGACGAGACCCACGAGACGACGAGAGCGCGAAACACGGGACGGCGGGAAAACCATGCAAGACCGGATGGAAAATTGGTACAGGGTTCTTTGTGTCGCGCGGCCGCTTGCACCACATAACACACGCATGCTCAATTTAGTTTCAACTTTGACAGGCGACCGAAACTGTTTTTGTTTTTTTTGTTTTTTTTGGCACAGGTTTGGCACAGATTACCCATATTTTGGTAAAATGTAGCAGGATGTTGCAGAGTTAGCCCCTTGGTGCAGTTTGGCACAATTGGCGCAGCAATCACATCACTAGTGACAAACAAAAAGAACACCACGAAAAAAGCAAAATCTGTATTGCCTTTCCCTCTTTAGAACAAAGATTTTAACTGTAGACATATGACGCAGCCAAAAAGAGCTTACCATTCAAGATGTTCTGGCTCGCGAGAATCATGATGGCAGAGAGTGAAGCACTGAAAATGGCGTTTTGGCCGAAGTTCAAGACAGCCAGGCTGGTGGTCGTTTTCAGCGACGCCTCCTGGTACTGAGCCAAAAGTTTGTCATAGTTGTTTGCTTCAAGCTTTTCATTGTTGAAGTACTACAAGATAAACCAAAAGTGTCAACGAGGCTTTGAGCACAACAAGAAGTACTACGGTTCACCATTCGTACCTTGACCGTCTCATAATTTATTAAGGAGTCGACAGCTTGCGCTCCCGCTTCGTTTTCGGCTTTGTTCATCTTGATCCGGAACTTCGTCCTGTAAGTAAAACATAAATGGTAAGGAGAACACTGTAGTACAAAAGTTTAAAGAATTGAAGGGATCACAGCAAGGTAGCCTGATGCCTTAAAGCTAAGACTAGGGATGCGGCAAACTTTTTTCGAACCAAAGTTTCGATGATCGAATCAAGCGGTTTGAAAGGTTCGAAAGATTTTGAATTTTCTAACTTTCTATATCAAAAAATTCAACGGAAGTTGAATTTTCGAACTTGTTAAACTAAGAAATTCAACGCTTTTCGAAATTTCAAACTTTGCACGTTCAGAAATGCAATGTTTTTTTAACCTTCAAAGTTATTACGCTGGTAAATTCGATCCTTTTCGAACTTTTGAATTTATTTTGATGCGAAATTCAATGCTTGTCGAACTTTAAAACTTCATAGACAAAAAAATTTGATGATTTTCAAATATTTGAACTTCTTGCACTAAGAAGTTCAAAGCTTTTCGAACTTTCGAAGTTCCTACGCGAAGAGATTCAATCATTTTCAAACTTTCAAACTTATTTATCTAGACAATTCGAAAATGTTCAAACTTTCGAATCCCGAAGAGACGAAAGTTGAACGAACTTTGAACTTTTAGGGTAAAAGTTAGAAGTTCATCAAACATCGATAGATTGGCGGGTGGTTTCACTTGGATTCAAATGTGCATTCATAATTTTTTTTTTTTTTTTTTGAATTTTTACATTCGGTGTTGCATTCCTTGCGAAAGACAATGCCGTTTATTTCAATGTTCTGGCATGCTTAGTTTTAAAGAAATAAATTCCCGAAGGAGCGAGGAAGGACGACGGGTTTTTGAAGATTGTCGTTTGTGCAATATTTGAAGCGCGCTATAGCCGAAGCTATTTATTGGCGAATTCGGGTGGTCATTTCCCGGTTGCCATATCTAGGGCAAGGGCGTTTGCGTGGTCAGAGGCTGGCGAGTGCGCGCCGTTCGGGTGGCACTTCTCAGGCGTGTGCCGGCAATTTACCGGCACAATTTTTGCCCGAGCTTCAAGAGGTCGGGCAGCTTGTCTGCCAGACTGTATTCGGTATCGTCACATCCGAATCGGTAAAGGGAACCAAATGAAACAATGGTCGCCGATAGCGGGTTCGAGTAGAAAACGAAGCCATTGAGACAGACATCCCTCTGTGGTCTGAGAAAAGACAGCAAAAACAACGGAAATAAAGATAAATATTTTAAAGGAAGCTTGCGCAAGATCAGTTTGCTATGGAACACAGCGTGAAATTACACCGCTGTAAAAAAGAATGTATTGATAGTGCTGCAGCACGACACTTCAACGTGCATTACTATTTCAAAGGGCTGGACCAAACGAAAATGCTAAGGATTCCAGAAAAAAAGGTAATAACAAGAAAATGGAATATAAACAGCAATGCTGGTGAGCCTTCTGGGATTCTTGTAAGACGGCAACAGTTCTTTGGCAATCCAAACCAAATATATTAAAATTTGCTTACCCATATCTCAGAGTCCGAATAAATGTTGCTGATGCCTACAGTGTGCCTATTGTATCATAAAATAATCGAGAAAGAAGTTAACAAAGTTCACGCGCGACGCGGGTAAACAAAAACGCTAGTTGCAGGCGCTTTGTGTTCGGGTGGAGAGGGTCACGTGGTGCGCCTGGTGCGGTTTTGGTTGCTTGTGCCGCCGGCGTGGGCTCGCCGGCGATTGACCACCCGAATTCGCCATATGTTAGAGATGTTAAACTTTTTAATAATGGTCTATGTATAGCCAAGGTAAGTGACGTCTTAAAATATGATTATTGTTATTCAAGACGAGTTTCGAAGAAATATCCAAACATGCATCTCCGGGCAATTATTCCCTCAACTTGGTAATTTTTTTTGTCTAAATTGTTTGAGGTATCGCATTTAAATTACACCAGAGACAGTACATATCACTGCCATTTGCAGAATACAAAATAATGTATTTATTTTTTTTATTTTTTTTTCAGGTTGAGCAATAAATTAACTTATGGCAGAAGGTTTCTAATAAAGTTCAAGTTCAGCACGTCATTAAAAAATTTTTTTTTTTTTCTTTTCTTTTTTTTTTTTGTTGCAAGATTTGGAGACTTTTAGCCTGTACAAATTTTGGTAGGAGAAACTGCAAGAATACAACACTTCCAGCGAGTTCTCGATATTTTTTTTTCTCCTTTTCTCGAGCTTTTCATTCTTGCATTTTCAGTAATACCTCGTTAATTTGAAGTCATAAAAACTGTGAAAAAATTCGAGATAAGCGGAATTTCGAGATAAGCAAAATACCGAAATTTTTTTACCTCTCCCCGCGCGATGTTTTAAATAAAACTTCTAACAATCGCGGCAACATCAACTTCTCTGATGAGAGCAACTTTGCTCTCAAGTGTCAGTGATTTGCACTGTTGGGGCTCCGCCATCTTCATGGTCAATCGAGTCACGCGCCAACAACGTCAGAAAATTCACAACCGATGACCGAATTGAACACTTCTCCCTTGCTCGTGTGGAGCCGGAAGACAATCGAAACACCCGAAAAAAAAAAAAAATGACGGACAAGCAACAAAAAGCAGCAACACTCGAAACGAACGAGACACCTCTGGGAAACACGAGACTCACGACGACCAACGACCGGACCCGGAAGGAAACGGAAGAACCCAGGAGCAAAGAGAAAACGAAAGACAGAGCGGAACAAAACGCTCAAGGGAAACGGGGCACCGAGCGTCAGGCATCCCGGCCTGTGAGTGATTAGCTTGTCCAAATGGAAATCATAAAAACAAAACAAACAACAAAAAAAAAAAAAAGAAAAAGAAAAGAAGAAAACAAAGTTTCTGAGTCGCACATCTCTTCGAGTCTCCGTACACCGCACCCGCGGTTATTTTTCTTTTAATTGTTTTCTTGCGCGTTTTGTTTTTGTTTTTTCTTTTGCGTGCTGCACACATTTTTTTAAATTTTTTTCATGTTTATTGTGTTGTTGTTTTTTTTTTGCAATTTTCGCTGACGAGATTTCGAGATATCCGAAGTCAGTCACGAAAACCTTTCGAGATAAGCAAGTACAAAATGCATTGTGCCTATGGGAGCTCATTCCGTGGCAAGGAAATTTTACGACTTAACCACTATTTCGAGATAGCTGTGTTCGAGTTAATGAGGTATTACTGTATTGCTACCGTATTTTCCGGACTATAAGTCGCACCCTTGTATAAGTCGCACATCCGTATATTGAGCCGCTTTCGCAGAAAAGTTGGCATATAAGTCGCACCTTTGTATAGGTCGCTCCTCTTTACATGGTTCACGATATGAGTTCTTTGGTTTACGTGCATTGGTATCACGAAATCGGAGTTTCGCACAATTGCTAGATTGCACGTACCGTTTGACGCGCATTTCGACTCGCAAGAAATGCCCATAGTATGGTGCTGTCTGGCGGGGGCAATAAAATGTTTCACAGCAAAAGGACGTAAAATGTGCAAAAGGAGAGAGTAGTTTACTTTATTTGATCGAAAGCGTTCTGGGCAAATGGAAGTTTAAAGATCTAGACACTTGCAAATCAAGCTTTGGAGCACAAGGCCTAGCCTAGGCCAAGTCCCGGAGACGGCGCGAGCATCGATGCGCAGGCAAAAAGATAAAGCTTGACATTCTTTTTTGGGTACCTCTAAAAGATTGGCTATCCACAATCCTTCCTTTTACATGTTGCAACACAGCTGGAGCATGGCACAAAAAAACTGCTCATCAAACGGAAATAAAGAAAGACTTGAGAAAATATTCTGCAATGCCTGTATACCAACCCACTTACTTTTCAGTGTTACTGGACTGAAGCAAAAGAATACGGAACCATGGCTGAACTAGACAACATCAATAACATGCTGTAAAAGCTTTATTCTCACTGTCTTGCCTATCCACATTGAGTCGCTTCAGGCAAACCATAAAAATTAAAATATCTCGCATTCAGAGTCAAAATAGTGCGGCGAGAGCATTGCCTCCTGGAGGGGTCCTGCGGCTACGTAGTTATGGTGCTCTACGAAAAATGGCGTGCGGCATATAAAAAAAATGGCGTCGCACTTCGAAAAAAAAAAAAAAATCTTATATAAGTCGCATATTTGTATATTATTTATGCATATGTATAGCCACTGTCGCTCTTCACTGCATAAAAGATAGCATAGATGGTCACTGTCAGAAACTCGTTGTCGGAAGGCACTACTCGTCACATGCTTAGTGGTTCGGAAGCTCAAAGCTATGTCTTTAATAACCAGTAACTGTGCCATTGATAAAAAAAATATTTAACATACCGTATTTTCCAGTGTATAAGTTGCGGCTTTTCAAACCTTTTTCTTGGTGTCGCACTAAGAAAAAGGTTTGAAAAGCCGCAACTTATACACTGGAAAATACGGTATGTTAAATATTTTTTTTATCAATGGCACAGTTACTTAGATCGAAAAGACATAGCTTTGAGCTTCCGAACCACTAAGCATGTGACGAGTAGTGCCTTCCGACAACGAGTTTCTGACAGTGACCATCTACGCTATCTTTTATGCAGTGAAGAGCGACAGTGGCTATACATATGCATAAATAATTTCAGATTAAAATAAGCTCGACCCGCACTCTTTCCCCGCATTGTTTCCAAAATATCTGAAAAGCGGGGGGGGGGAGGGGGGGAGACTGGAGCCCCCCCTTCCCCGTTTTTCCTCTTATGACGCCTCTGGTATGGTAGAATGCTCCTCAACCTCGAGTTGTGTCGGCTTCTGAGCGTTTTGCTCTGCCTTTCCTCCGTCCCGGAAAATAAACCTCCAGAACAATTACAAACTAAAACTACTATATGCATCAATCGGGCGTCGTTCGATCGAATTATTACCAGCGTGCAAGGGGGTGGGGAGGTAGTTTGCCAGATCGCTTCAACGTATTTCTGAGCCTCAACCTCCTGCCCGTCCCTGGCCGTTTTAAATTGGATGAGTATCGTAAAACAGTGCGTTAGTGTGATCACAACTGCATAACGCACATTAAAAAAAAACCTCCTTCCCCCCCCCCCGCCCCGGGCTGGCGGTCGCGATTACTGATCTATGGTCACATGTAACTCTGCACTGGCAATCATTCCAGCACATCCGGGACACTCGTCGTCTCATTTAATTGCCTGACCAACTTCGCGCACTCTAGATATCACACCCGAACTTTTCTAATCCTGATTTCGTGAAAATCAGTGAGGCGTGAAAACGTTATTTGAAACTGAAACTGTGGAGGAACGTGAAAACCAGACTTCGAACCTTGCGAACTTGGACTTAAAAGAAATTAAAAATCCTCTTTTTTTCTTTTAATTTTGCTTTAAAAAAGAATTGAAACCTTCGCACTTTTCGAGCTTGATGTAGAAAGAAATTCTAAATCTCCGAATTTTCCTATCGTTATGTCTATAAAAATTCAAAACGTCAGATTTTTCGAATTTTAGATCCAAAGAAATTCGAAATCTTGGAATTTTTTTAACTTCAGATCCCACGAAATTTAAAATTTTAGAATCTCTCGAATTTCAAGTTAGAAAAGTTTGAAATATGTGAATTTCTCGAACCACAAGTAAAGAAATATTCGCAATATTCTCTTTTTTTCTGTTCGCTAAATATTCCTGAAATCCAGACTCCACAAAATTTATCACAATAAACAATAAATGGTGATATACAGTACTCATGACATACATTTGTCACAATTTTGTATGTGCATTACATCTTGGCCAACCAAGCTTCTATTTGCACAGCTGTCGGAATGAAATCAACAGCCCCTGCTTCACTCTCTAGTACACATCTCATACTTTGTCTCACTTTAAGTCAGAGCAGAGCAAACACCATGAGTGGATGCGATCAATCAAGCAGTGACAACTGTGCATTGTCACACCTGGCACCTTTCTTGAGGTATGCTACTGCCTGCTAAATCAATCTAGTGCAGGGAATCCTCTGCAATATAGCACTTTTAGTCTATGTGTGCTTTTCCTCTCTTTAGGCTGTGCTCTGACCCAGTAATGACAACCCTGGTGGTGGCTATCCTTAACTTACAACTGCAATGTGAACCATAAACACGTAATGAACATTTAGTTAACAAATAAAAGTGAATTATCCTCTAAATTATAATGGCGGCTATCTTCCCATCGGATACCTGTCAGGCCCAATAGTATAATGGTCCCCACACAACTGTCAGCATGGTTTTTTTTCTTTCTAATTGATGAAAACCAGATCCTGCATGCTGGCATTGCATCAAAAAGAATATTTTCGACAATTACAGAGTCATCGAGATAGATCCGGAAAATTCACCGTATTCAGGAAAACACAAAAAGGCAAAGATAAAATGAGTATCGACCGCTTTCTGTGCTTTGCTTGGTCTGCCGTAACGTCTTCCTGACAGATTTTCTGACTGTTTTGGCAATGCTTAAACTTGTGTTTTCTCATAGCCATACCACGCAATGATTTGCTTAGGCGACTTTCCAGCGCGAAGTGATTAGAGTATTGTACCCTCCAGTTGTATGCTCAGCTCATTTTTGAGCAAGTTGCGAATTGTTTATCATGCGATGGTCCTCTACAATACAGCTTCACTGTATTGTAGAGAGACGAAATCAGGGAGAAGTTTGGATTTATCTCGAAGACCCTGTAAAATGTGAGTGCCTGTTTGTATCCACTCAAAAATCCAACTCTGTATTCACAAACTTTCAAAGCACAAATGTATAGACAACAAGTATAAATAAAAAGACATTTACCTCCACTGTGTCACAGCAAATGTAAAAACGCTGTACGTTCCAATGCACCCCAGGGTTACTACTGCAAACTTGCCTCCACATTTGTAATACTGAAAAAAAAGAACACAAGATATTAATGGTTTTCGACAATAGGCCGTCAAGCAACACAGAGTTGTAGCTCGATCTCACAGAAACACTAACCAGCAAAAGAAAAAGTAAGGAAAAGTGCTTACTAGTACAGAGCTGACAAGGGCCACTTCAAGTATGGTTGGCACAATGTTAAAGACAAGAGCTGAGAGCACGAAGTTTATACCCCTGCAATAAGGGAAAGGGGGCTTCAATTGCGGCACTTAAATAAAAGTTGAACATACAACACACGCAGATATATGGGAACCTTAGTAAAATAGGACTTGACATAAGCTACGCAGACTTGTGAAATGAAATACCATATTTACTCGAGTAATAGCCGCACTATTTATGAACATGGCCCTTGGGTCTGCTTTCCCGCAGAACACGTATACAACCAATCATCGCATTGCGCAAAAATAACATAGCGAATAACTAGATCGAGAACAAGATTCTCCATACAAACGCAATCTTCACAGATGGTATCTCCGTGCGAAGACGTTATCTCTGTCCTGTAAACCGCTGGAATCATGCTGCCGATCCCAATGATTGGCAAGCCACATGCCACGCTGAAAAGCGAACCCTCGGGTTTTCTTTATAAACAGTGTGGCTATTACTCGAGTAAATACGGTACCACAAGAGACAACTCTTATGGTCTAAAATGTAACATTTGGAAGCATTTCTGCTGCAAAAAAGAACTTAATTTACAGGTAAGTTAAAAAAAAAAATAAAGATCATAACTTTAAAAAAATTATGTTTTATGAATTTCAGAAACTGAACAGCTTTGCTCAGTTACATATTAAAGCTTTTTAACAAACCAAATGTATGAGGACTAGACAATCAAGTACTATATAGAGTGATGTCTCCTTAATAGAGACCCTAAATTCTGCCCATAATGTGAGTTGTTCATAATAACAAAACAAAGGTGCATGTATTTATCCAGTTTGTCCCCAAAAGGTGTATCCAATATAGTCGGGTAACCATATTATGGAGGTTCACAATAACGAGACATGACTGTTGTACATAAGTGAACTCAAGATTTTAGTGCCTACTGTTCCACTTCAAATGCAGTGCTCGAAATCACAAGGCAGGGTCAGCAGGATTATGTAGTTCTAAGTAGCTTGTTTACATTTTAAAAACCTGCAAGTTAAGGTAGCTCATAGAGATGGCAAAAAAAAAAAATCAAAACTATGGGGATCACCACATAAATAATGTGGACATGGGGGCTGCATGTAACCTGATGTCTGCTTAGTGAAACTGTGGATCCAGGAGCAGTTTAACCAGCACTACCGATTAGTATGGACGTGTTTTCAGCAAAACACAACTTGCCAACTGTGAATTCCGGCTGTCACTTTCCGGGCGATCGCCAATCCAGAACCCCACAAAAACGTAGTCTACAGCCCATTTGACTAAGGCTTGCAGTATGTTTTACATTACATACACAGAACTATCTGGCTACAATTACTCTTCGATCACGGTTTACCTCGGTTTGAATGGTCTGATCGAATTTAGAGGGACAATGAAGGCAATTTCGGATAATTTTTTGCCGATTGAACTGGGTTCCAGGCACGTCTCAGGCCACACTGCCCAAATTTCAGCCGAAACCGGATCTTGTGTGCCGCGCAAATCAAATAAACAGTCGCGGTAATAATCGTACCGGGATCGACTGGGGCGACGCCCCGAGAGCAGCGGGAGAAGCCAGGAGAAGCGGAGCTCACGTGACCGTTGCGGGGCCAAGAAGCGCAACGTCACAAGAGATGCGTCAGCGATTGATTGGTCAAAACGAGAGACGTGCCCTCGGTTACAATTTGATTCGCGATTTTTAGGTATACTGCTTTAATTTCCGCCTGAATAACCAAGAAAAGTATAAATTGGACCAGAAATGATTACTAAAGCGTAAATAAAACAGTATAACTTTTTTCTCTTTGCTACGCTGGACGCAAAACGGGCAACAAGCAACTATGGGCAAACAAAATAAAATAAGAAAAGAACATGCGGGAGACATTTGGTTTTGGTTTCAGATGTTGGTGTCGTGTTTACTTTGGAAAACGGTACTCAAAGGATTCTGCAAAATGGTAGGTAGTCATGCCAAATTTGTGCGCTGTAGATGGCTGTTCTAACAATCGAGTGAAGACCAGTATTTGTTCGGGCGACGCAAATTTTCACGAGTGGGTTGCTGTTCGTGTTCTTTGACGACGAAAAAAGAGGATGCCCGACTTTGGTGAAAACAAAAAATGGTACTGTATATTTTCTCCTTCTTGGGGAGCATACCCCACGGAGGACCCGTTCCCGGAACGGCTTGGTCGCTGCCGCTTTCCCCTCGGCATCTCCCCTGCGTGCCTCTCCTTCGGCAACGCGCTGCTCTCGTCTCGCCCGCGCGAATGTTGCTCACTGCTCCGGAGCCTGCGGGCCGCTCGTTGCTGGCTGGGCGGTCTCTGTCGGGTGATGGCGGAGGCCACCACACACATACTCCAGTTCCATTGGTGTTAGGTATTGAACGGAAGCTCCAACTCGCTTGCGAGAGCATCATTGTCGTCCATGTTGACAGATTCGACGAAAAGACCGCGCCACCGCACTGCTATAACCCACTGCGGTAACCAGAGTCTCGATCTCCTAAATACTACCGATACCGACTATTCACACTTGACGTCACTCCCTACCTCACCTTCGTTTTCGGAGGCCCAGAAATTAGAACGGAGATAATTCAGTTTCGGTTTCTTCAGTTCTTTCGTAGGCACAGAAATATGTGTCACAAATGTCTACAAAAAAAATTAGGCAGCATGCTAGGTTCCCAAGAAGCCTAAAAACACCATTTAAAAAATGAAATAAAATCATCTTCATTGTCCCTTTAAGCACTTATAGGAGCACTCTTCGTACGTGCCTCCCGTTTTGTGTCCATTAGTCTCAGGTTTTTTTGTTTCTTTTTTTTCAAGAGAAGCAGTCATTGCTGCTAGCCTGTATACTTTTCACCGCAAAATACCGAGCATGCACCCATGTCGCGATAAGCATCATGTGCATGTACTTTTAAAGAGTTTGAAATATAAGCAAAGGAGATATTGAGCACCCACCTAAGCAACCTTCCGAGCCCACCAAGCTAACTAAGGTGCTCCTCCACGCCGACTGCTTTTTCATTAGCTGGTGCAAGGTGGTAAAGCTTTATGTCTGTGTACCAGTGCAAAGCAGTGAAGCTTGACTTGACAGCGCCAGAATAAAGCGTGCCTGTTCTACTATACCGTTCCATCAGAACAAATAAGAGACTGTGCTACCATGTGCCCGTTCTACTTTCCTGCTCTGAGAATCAACAAATCCCCATTCCCACTTTTTTGTGATTCCCCCCCCCCCCACTTTTGGGTGAGCGCTTGCTCGGTATACTACGCTCTAAAGATAATTTTGGTGACCTTACCTTTGCTTTATCGGACGCAAATTATACGGAATGTCACTAGCCCTGGCCAGAGAAGCGGGAACACTGGACGTACCGGGTGCCTCGGTCGATCGCCTTTGACAGGGCTCCCGTCTGCCGAGACAGGTGGAAGTTGAGGTCTAGCTTGTGCAGGTGGACGAATACCCGGCGAGCAACCTCCCTAATCGAATGGTGGGCCACCTTGGCAAACACTGCGTTCCTCAGCTCGTTGAAGCCGGCAGCACCAGCCCTGGCGAGACCATCTGTTGCCGAGACAGAGGACGGCCGTCAGGGTATCCCACATTCACAGTAAGCGTAATCAAAGGTCTGTACTATGGACCTCTTTAAGTAGAGAGAAACACTCGGGCAGCACCAGTCACGCGTCTCAAACACGTCTCCAACTGTGTTTGCCATTATCTCTGTTTTGGCTACTAAATTTCCACGTGGTGATGTTAGAACAGGGGAATATTGCTGAAACTCTCGCCATTCCACAGGAGGCAACTACTCTAATGAAGCTAACTTGAAGTTGGTCAGTTAACAAGAATTTTAATAGCCAGAGGTTGGAACACCCCGACACCAGAAATGCTAACTGTTGTTGGTCTGCTATGCTGTTGCTTCTACAACCACAAGCCATAATGGTCCAAAGCTGCTTACTGTGTCGTATTTTGTTGGCCTTTTGCAGATACTCCAATGCATAGGATAGGACCAGTTACAAGTGCACTCTAGGCACCGCAGCAATTGCTAAAGACAAGCCTTTCAAACGTGAGGTGCAATCTTGTGGCCAGGAATACAGTAGACTAATTAATTCAGACTCCTGGAAGCTTCGAATCTTGTTTGAATTATCGGAAGTTCGAAATATCAGAATTTTATCTAAATATGATGCGAGATAAAATTATGATTTCTTATATGAATGGCTAAACATAAAAAGCAGATATTTTATGATTTCCTCTACACAGGCCTATTAATCATATGCAGGTATGCCACACACGAAACATTGTTGAAATGTACGATACAAGTTCATTCATCTCTCAAAATTGTTGTCTACCGTAGACTCTTTAGACAACGCATGACACTTTAAAACGAAATTCAGTTTGTTCATCTAGCAAAGTTGTCGTCTATTGTGAACTATTAGACCCGTTGAGCACGCTTCTTACCAAGCACTGGTGCACAGCGGAGGAGCAAAACTCGCAAAAGCGATACGACCCATACGACCTATAGCCAGCCCTGAAGGAGCCAAGTAAGCTTCGAAACGTCGGGACTACTTTTTACGGTTTTGTGGTCGGAGAATTCTTTTTTTAATCTAATTTAGTCGCAGAAGCGAGCTTTGCAGGTGTTGTTTCTCTCCAGGGCAACGGTGTTCGCTAACAATTGCGCTCAACTGGGTTGCAAAAAAAGAGTATGAAAGACACGAAAACATTGTTTGAATTAAGCGGCTTATAGTAAACACATTAAAAACGCAGCAAACAACCAAAATTTTAAAGTTTATTTGAATTAACCAGAAGTATGAAATATCCGAGTTTGAATTATCATGAGCCTCCTGTATTGTCGCCTTTTTTCATCTGCATTCGACACAGGAAGCTATCTGGCACAAAGTGGCCCCTAATATAACCATATCACGGGCGTGCAGCTTTGTTCCGGGGAGGGGGGGGGGGGGGGTTGTTTTATGAGGTACAGGGGGGAGAGAAGGCCTCAGCAAAATAGAAAATTTCGGGGAGGGAAGCATAGCCCCATGCACCCTGCCTGCCCCCCGCCCCCCCCCCCCCCCCCCGCCCCCTGTCCGCCCGCTGCCGCCGCCCCCCCCCCCTGCCCCCTGGATACATGCCTGTCGTGTCACGCTTACCCAAGCACTTTCATCTACAGCTCGTACAGTTCAAATAGAGACTCATTTCACTAAAAGCCACCTTGCAAATTTTTATTCAGCAGGACCGAAAACATTTTACATTCTTTCTTTTTGTTCAACAATGAGAGAAAAAGCAAACTCCCTTTTGCATGAGCTTTAGAATACAAGATATTCTACAATAGAAACAAAAGCAATGGGGTCTTGTTAAAGTGGCTAGCAGATTTGCACCTATTGCAGGTTGTTCCACTTCCTTTCCAATTGCAAATAGGCCTTTGATCGAGCTAAGTTACAGAAACATTAGACAGACTCATTCGCAACTAAAGCCATTAAGCTAAGCCGACATTTGGTTAGCAAACAAGAAAACAAATACTTACATCCAAGCAGCATTGCTAATGCAGCAGATGTCAAGGTGCTTGAAGCATCAGAGAGGGTGAGCTTGGTTCCAGTTTGTTCATTTAGGTAGTCTACCACAGCTTTGAAGATGAATGGCACTTCAATATTTATCACCTGCACAACAATTTATCATAAGGGAGCTGCACAGCTCTGAGATTCATAGTAGTACTAGCTGTAGTAGGTTACATAGAAAGTGCTTTTAGAATCTCCAAACACTTGCTCCTTGTGGATACTGTTTGACATCAGTCAACACGGTTTTGTGTTTTATCTTTGACATAAACTAGCTTCACTGTTTCAATTTGTGAGATCTCAAATTTGATATGTTAACATTTTCAGGTACATCTATGAAAGAATCAAGGTCATATGACTGTCTGATCGGTCATCCAAGACATCTGTACATATATTTATTTCTACAAATTATTTTGCAGGGTAATCTAACAAATGGTTACCAAAAACCACTTCCATAATTTGATATCTTTAACAAGCCCTCCCACAGCATTGCTACAGGATGTGACTTTTTTGTGAAAATCAGACAATAATGCAGTGTCCAAACTGTAACTGATCAGATATTGCCTACCAGCCCTGAATTTAACTCTTTCTGCACGCAACTTAATGTGCAAGTTTGGGCAGTTTGATACTTTAGGTTTCTGTTCCGGGAGAAAAAGGTCAGCCGCCGAAAGGCAGCAAGAACATGGTCCTTCACGTCGGGCTCTCCAAACTATTAGGCTCTGAAGAAAATCAGCTATCTGTTTTAAGTCCTTACTTCAAACACTTTTCAGTTCACACTTCAACCATTGATAAGCATGGCAAAGAACCCAAGTATACACCTGATCTCATCACACCCATTGTCTCTTTCCACACGATAAAGCCTGTCTGCTATGGTCACCAAATATTAAAAGACGCACATGTGAATGCAGCGTCTAAAATCAGCTACACCGCATCATCTTCTGAATGTCGTCTGCTACCAACATGGCAACGCCAGCTTGGGCTTAAAGCTGGGCTTCGAGCCAGATTGCACATCCTCGCTCCCGCTGCGCCTGAGGAAAGGTTGATTATAATCTTGGGCCTGATCGTGAACCAAGCCTCATCAAAACTGCCAAGAATTCACTAGGCGAGTGCTTCCTGCACTCAGCGTTGACCTCCACAGCGGCACAACTGACTTTGGCTAGCATTGCCACGTACACCGTAGCAGACGGCATTGGGAAGATGGTGTCTGCTGCAGCTGGCTTCCGACACTGCATTCAAGCGATGGTCCACAGAAAAGATGCTTCGATGCCGTTACGACGCTGACCATAGCCGACGGACTTTATCGTGCGAAAGGAGACCGCGATCTGGTGAGATCAGGTGCGTACTTGAGCTCTTTCGCCGAGCTTTTCAATGGGAGGAATCCAAACAAAAAGAGTCTGAAATAAGGACTTAAAGCATATGGGCAAATTTTTCCAGTGCCTAATATCTTGTTGAGCCTTACACAAGGAGTAGGTGTTTAGCCTGCAATTTAGACAACGCTTTTTTGTATTGCAACATAGGGCTAAACTACCAATGTGCCCAAGTTCGTCCACTTTTGTGGAGCTCATGTTTGTTTCCTTAGAGAGCTACCTTAGTTCCCGTCCTTCAATCTTAGAAGTACTTTGGCAGACGGCTATCGTTTGCAAAGGAGTCTTTTTTACTAGACTGATACTTTCATCTAGGATCCTTGTTAGTTTATGTTTTAAAACCCACCACGATGGTAAAACTGAATGTAAAAAAGAAAATACCCCTGTTCCCTACGAGCATGCAGAAAAGACCCCATGTGCACACACAGCCATGCATGGCTGCTGAAAGCCTGAGAAAGAACAGCGGTGTTTTGAAAGTGCACTTTGGGAACGGCTGCTGTCAGCCTACCTCCTTTGTGCAGCGAAGATGGCTCTCGCCAGAAAATCTCATTCCCGCTGCGTTTGTGCAACTGCAGTGCCACGTGTCACCCGTACGTTGGCTCAGCAACTGCTCGTTTGTGCTATTCTCTTTTAGTGCCGACTCAACCTCGTTACTCACTTATTTGCAACCTTGCTTGGTGAATGGCCAATACCTTCAATGCTCATGCTGGCTGTCATGTGCAGAAAGTATGTGTGGGCTTATTTGCCAAGCATATCATCTATTACATTCAGATTGTGTAATACAGAGTGTGTTCCCGCAAACGGGCCCACAATCATACCAGATTGTTCCCGACCCAAATCAATCACCAAGGCAGCACCACCATATCACGGTTCTCTTTGCACGTTCGCTAAAAGTGGTGCATCTCACTTGCAGAACAGTTGAGCATGCGTCTGATGTGGAACTTCTGTTTCTTTTACTGTCCTCCCTCCTTTTTCCCACCTCTATTTATTAGAGGTACTGCGGCCCCCCGGTATGGGCATAATGCCTGCCCTCAGCCATTTTACTCTTCCAAGTAGAATCAATAAACAAACAATCAAGCATGCTGAAGCAACAGACCAATGATTGTCGGGAAAGACATCCGCCCTACCTTGGCCAAAATCAGTATGGCCATTGCCACCAGAACTCTCCTGCGGATTTCGGGCTTTTCCTTTGGCCAGAGGTAGGTGAACATCTGCTTGATGATGGACCAGCCGCTGACGCTTTTGGCAGACACCCCCGACTTGAGCGGGAAGGAGCGTCGACGCTCCCGGGTGGAAGCATTTTCGTGGCTTCCCCAGCTGCACATTTCTCTGCAGAAGCTGCAAAGAACAGGAACGTATGAGCCGAACACCTCTCCAAAGGCCACAAACTGGAAAGGGGGTTTCTATTCAAATTCGCAGAACTATCAACTATCAAGTCTCGAAGACAAAGTGAATGAACAGGCGGGCTGGTTTAGGCCATAGATAAGTTAAACCGGAGGCGACGGATGAAAAAAGGGGAGCATAGACAAAACGTCTCAACGACTACAAGCGAACTGCGTTTGAACACGAAACGACGAAATACTTGCTTTTTACCTTAAAGTACGGGTATTGTTTCAGCAGTGGGTTATCATGCTGACCACCTGGAAACTGCCGCCGTGAGAATAGACGCAAGGAAAGAAGGGGGCACAGAGAGACAGGACATTAGACGTGTAAAAAGAGATCGCGCTATATTGCGAAAGATCACGATACGGACAGACTACTCGCCGGACTGTACAAAGTAATACCGCTGATTTAACGAGACATGCAGTGTTTACTAAGCGGACGATATCACAAAAGCGCAAATGTGATTTATGCGTGAGTGAATCACCACAAAAGAAAGAAAACAGCAAAATTAGGTCAAGAATAGATGATCGCTTCTCCGGGAGTTCATTGTAACCGGCATACCTGCTTTTTTCGGACAAATAAGGCGCAGAGTCGGCAGAGTCGTAAACTTGTTTCCAGAAATGCTGAAGCACCTTCGCGATGCGCTGGAGTGAAGGTTATTTGAACGCAGCAAAGTGGTATTAATTTTAAAAATAAAACCATCGGTGAACCGAACCAACATCGTATAGGCCGCCATCTTGGCAGCCGCAGCTGGTACAGCGAAGCCACCTGGCAGGTGTCGGTCGAAATGCTCTTTATGAAAAATCTGTTAAAATTGCTGCTACCCGCTGCTACCCTTCACGCCCACGGCCCATGGGGTATGGCGAAAGAGATCAGTGCAGTTATCGTGCGGTGCAACGACACATTTGAAGAAGAGGTATCCTCCGGAAAAGCCTACTGATCATATTTACGTCAACATTCTTGATAAAATATCGATAAGTGGTACATTTGGTTGACGGTGCTAATTAAACTTAAAATGGATAAAGGTAACAAAAAAATAAGCACGCGTATTCTGCTCCACTAGCACTCGATAAGTTAACTGGGTAGTTAACTTTTTAATTAGTAAATTTAAAGGTATGGTTTCAGTTTCGAAAATTGTTCGGCATGAAGCGCCTCACCGCGGCGAAGTCTACGCAATGCATGCAGGGAACTTGTTAGAGTTTTGGGCAAGGTATATGTACCTTCACGATAAGGAAAGAGGGACATTTAAGACAAACAGACAAGACAGGCTTTCGACTTTCAACAAAACGGACGTTTTGTTGAAAGTCGAAAGCCTGTCTTGTCTGTTTGTCTTAAATGTCCCTCTTTCCTTATCGTGAATTAATAACCAACACGCTCAACCATCTACATTATATGTACCTTGTTTTGGGTTCGATCGTTGGGCGTGTGAACGGTGTGGGCGTGTGCCGTGTGGAGACATTGGAGTCGTCGCGTACAACTGCAATCCACTTGAGGATGGCGTTCTTTTCATTTTATTTTCAATTTTTACTTTCATTACTTGCCGATCGCGTCTGTACTTAGTGTCACTAGAGAGTTTTACCAGACCGTGTTTTCAAGCAACGCTCTGTAGCTCTATGTAGCGAACTCGTGCTATCGCTGGAGCTCGCGATGCCACTTCGAAGCATGCGCTGAAGCGCGCGCCCGGAGCGATACCGGGTCTTTGAAAACGATCTACCAAAACTCAATAGGGTGTTTTCACTGACGTAATTTTGTCCCCATTTTGTTGTTGTGAGCTGTTTGGCGTGTGCCGAAGGCGAGCATTCCAAGGCTTTACATGACCACAGAAGCTTATAAGTTTTACCACGCTGACATACCCTCAACAGGTTGCGATGTAATCCTTCATATTAGTAAATTTGTTTGAAAAAACAAGCTAACAACAAAATGGTGGATTGACGTCACGTGAAAACAACCTATACCTTAACCACAACCTTAACATAGCGCAAAAGCCTCAAACGCGAGTGCATAGCCTCAACAGGTGGCCCAGCTGCTCGAGCGCTCGTGCAGCCGAGCCGCCGTTCATTTCGAGGAGCTCGCGTTCGTAGCCTTTGCGCTTATCCACAACCCTTTGATGCCCAGGGTAGCCCAGGAGCAACAACCCAATAATTAATTATTTTCTCCCGTGTCACGTGCGCCTCAATAAATTTAGCGCCATCTGCCGCATGGGCGAGGATACCTGCGCTAGCAGTGGAGGATCGAAATGCATATTCAACACAGATCACTGGTCCATCAAAACCAAAGTCGATAGTGGGTGTGACGTATGATGGCGTGCCCCTGGCCTCACAAATGCGAGAAGGAAGACCAGCGCAAATATTACCAATTCAGTTATACCTTTCTCTGCTGTACCACATTCTAAATGCACCTGGGCCTTCTCCCATCCGTAGCTGATTCCGTAAGTGTGATGCCATGGGTCCAAACAAACCGTTGCTAGGGTCGTTGTTATGGACAAACAGGGGCGGATTTAGAGGGGGGGTCCGAATGTCCTGACCCCCCTCTTGATTTCTGCATGTGTAAAATTTAGGGCGTAAAACGAAGGAGAAGGGGAGGGGGTTCCTAAACATATGGTACACTGACCAACACCTGACTCCCCCCCCCCCCCTCAGGAAATTCCAGCATCCGCCGGGTTTTCGGTACGAAAACCCGGCCGTTCAAATATCAGAAGTAAGATTTAAACTTTTAAAAACCACAGATAAAAAAAGCTTGAATGTCATATATGTTTCTACGAAAGTATGCCGGTAATCGCCTTTTTTTTTTTTTATAAAATATTTACGACTGCAACTACCGGTCCTAAAGATGTCTGCAGCAGACGACGAATGCAAGAAATATGCCGCCTGCCGCACGCCTGCCGGCCGTCGTTTGAATCGTGTGAATAAAGGCGACATTTTGATATTTCATCGGTTTGAAATACAATGAGTTTCAGAGACTTACCCGTAGAATACCGCGCATCCGCCCAACAAAATTTCGGCACTTATTTTTTGGTCTATATGTGTTCAAAGGAGCAGTACCACATTGAACACACCAATATTTTGCTAAAAAAGTCACGAAAAGGAATTTTAAAACGAATTAAACGATTAGCAAAGAGCACCTGGTGGACGCCCGCTTGTTCGCTGCAACAGGCTGCAGCGCGAGCGCGGCCACCGTACGGCCATCTTGCATGCGGAAAGATCGCGCTTTTGCTAGCGTTGCAGAGGCTGGCGGCAGCGTGTTGAAGACACGTTTTCTATTCGTTCGTCGTCCACCGCAAAATATTTTTTTTAAAACTCTGCATAAGGGGTGAGACTCGCCATTGAGAACATGTGCCAATTTTTATGAAAGCACAGTGCCGCAGGGAAAAGGCACAATTCGTGGAAAGCAAATTTGGGCGGTCTCACGGCGTGATCAAAGCTTCCTTGGCACGCCGAAGCGCTGCGTCACTGTGCCTTCGCACGCATGGATACCGATCAAGAACCAACGCCGTGTCGATGTGTTTTGCGAGTGCAATGTGCGTGAAGCCGTATGTGCCTCTGGAGCAGCGTTTTCCTTTACTCTGACGACTCTATGTGTAGCATGCGGCACTTGCGTTCCAGAAATGAGCTTGATCCATTGTAAAGTGGCGACGAAAGAAAGGGGGGGGGGGGGGGGCAACGGCGGCGGCGCGTTTATTCTTTTTTGTTCACTAGACACTAATGGCGATGAATTCAGTACAACAAAAATCTTCATTTTTGTGCACCCCCCCCCCCCCTCCTCCCTTTCTTACCAAACACTTCCGACGCCCTCGGCTCTGTATTGATCACACGACTGCTTTGAGTTGAAGCCAGAAGCGAACACCCGCTTGTGCCTTTTATTCCTGAGCTCGCGCACCAGCGTGGCTGGAGTGCGAGCGCGTCGGCGACACCGATACACGATACATCCTCGGACCTCGGGTCTTTAGAGAACGAAACAAAACAGAAGGAAACATTGTAACCGTATAACGAAAGATAAACACATATACACACTAGGATAAACAATAAAAAAAAAAGAACTAGAAAAAAAATTATGGGAGTTGTTCAAATGTTGCATCATAAGTTAGTCGGCGCGAGGTGGTAGTCTACTTCTTGATGATCTTCTAAACATTGTTCTAACCGATGAGGCCTCCGGAGTAGGGTGCCTTCATGTGCGCCTTGCTTAGGGTGGAGACATCCGGCCATTTTGTCCCACAAGTTTATTTTTCTTTTTTGTTCAGAAGCGCGTGAAAGAGCGTGTCCCTGCACGCGTTTGTGGCGCTGACTGTGCTATGGCGACATTTTGTTTTCGTCGATTTCTTTGTATTTTCCCCGTGAGCGCGTGCTGTCGGCATCGGGTACTACGAAGGGTGGCATCACCCTAAACAGAAGGACATTGAGGCACCATACTCCGGAGCTGCCGCTTCATTTTTCTCTGGCGATGAATCTGGAGACGTTGGTCGGCTTTGGTTCCGGTGATTAGGCGCAGGTGGCCCTTCCTGCACACTTGTAGGTTGCTATGAGACGATGTCACCCTCGGGGCTGCTGAATGTCTTAGGCGTTTTCAGCAAGTGACGGTGGTTCCTCCTGTAGGTCCTGTTATTCTCTGACTGTAGGTTGTAGGAGCGTGGTCCAACACAGCCGGTGACCTTCGCTTTATCAGCCCAAGAGTTTGTTTTGTCGTAGTCGAACAATATCACCCCTCTTGACACCGTATTTATACATCGATGCGACCAGAATAGGAGTGTGTAAGATAAAAATATATAGACCGGAAATATGCGCATACTATTAAATAGCTCTAAAGGAGGGAAAAGCACATGACAAGCGCCAACTTGGAACTAAGTATTTTATTTGGATTCCAGCATCGCTATCGGGTCTGTACGACACAAACACATATATTATCATAAAAAAGAGTCACAACGCCAAAACTCAAAGACATAGCAGCAGGAAAGCTGTCTCCATAGATAAACACTGAATCATTCAGAAATCAAACTGCGTACATTTTCGAAGCGGTAATCTCTAAAAACACTTAGATTCATGATTGCGTCTGTCCTGCGCCTTTCTTGGTCTTGTGTCTCGTCCTTGTGCACTATTATAATACCATGTTCAACAACCAACTAGCTCAGCAATCCACTCTTTCACGGAATTTTTTAAAGTGCATGTGGTATGCGAAGATGGTTATGAGACGGCTGAGCACTTTGATACTTTATTAAAAAGGGCCTCACCTTGCAGTTTTCAATAACGTGACTGATTTAGTGAACGCGCTGGGGTGTAAATGCAGCAAAGAAATAGAAAACCACGAGGCTTGAGCAAACTTACTATGATCATGGTTGAAAAAACCCCGAGACTGCGGGTAGAAGACACAACACTAAAAAGTCTCTAACACAGCTGAAATTTTTATTTTCCAAACCTGGTTATATAGGCACTTCGATACAAAAGAAAAAAGGGGGAGAGGGTGAGAACCCCAAAAAATGCCACTTTCCACCAACGTAACCTCTGACTAAACAACAAGGGCAACAGACGGCGTCTGGTGTTCCCTTTTCACGGTGCATATCCACGTTCTCGGACGAACCGAGCGCATGAAAACTGACCTTCAAATCTTTTTCGACACTTTTGGTACAGCCCCAGTCGCAGCATTTTGTCGAAAAGGCAGGTTTTTGTATGATTCCTTTCAAAACAACGCAGGAATACACGGCTCACATGGGCACTTCCGCCCACAGCCCCGGACCGGAAGTGCGTCCGACGCGCCACCACCGCGCCGTGACG